GAAGTTTGAACTTGAAGGTTCAACTTGAAGTTTGAACTTGAAACTTGGACTTGAAGTTTGAACTTGAAGGTTGAACTTGAAGTTTGAACTTGAAGTTTGAACTTGAAGGTTGAACTTGAAGTTTAAACTTGAAGGTTGAACTTGAAGGTTCAACTTGAAGTTTGAACTTGAAGGTTGAACTTGAAGTTTGAACTTGAAGGTTGAACTTGAAGTTTGAACTTGAAGTTTGAACTTGAAGTTTGAACTTGAAGGTTGAACTGGAAGTTTGAACTTGAAGGTTGAACTTGAAGGTTCAACTCGAAGTTTGAACTTGAAAGTTCAACTTGAAGTTTGAACTTGAAGGTTGAACTTGAAGGTTCAACTTGAAGTTTGAACTTGAAGTTTGAACTTGAATGTTCAACTTGAAGTTTGAACTTGAAGTTTGAACTTGAAGGTTGAACTTGAAGTTTGAACTTGAAGGTTGAACTTGAAGTTTGAACTTGAAGTTTGAACTTGAAGGTTGAACTTGAAGGTTGAACTTGATGGTTCAACTTGAAGGTTCAACTTGAAGTTTGAACTTGAAGGTTGAACTTGAAGTTTGAACTTGAAGGTTCAACTTGAAGTTTGAACTTGAAGGTTGAACTTGAAGGTTCAACTTGAAGTTTAAACTTGAAGGTTGAACTTGAAGGTTCAACTCGAAGTTTGAACTTGAAGGTTGAACTTGAAGTTTGAACTTGAAGTTTGAATTTGAAGTTTGAACTTGAAGTTTGAACTTGAAACTTGAACTTGAAGTTTGAACTTGAAGGTTGAACTTGAAGGTTCAACTTGAAGTTTGAACTTGAAGTTTGAACTTGAAGTTTGAACTTGAATGTTCAACTTGAAGTTTGAACTTGAAGTTTGAACTTGAAGGTTGAACTTGAAGGTTGAACTTGAAGTTTGAACTTGAAGTTTGAACTTGAAGGTTCAACTTGAAGTTTGAACTTGAAACTTGAACTTGAAGTTTGAACTTGAAGGTTGAACTTGAAGGTTCAACTTGAAGTTTGAACTTGAAGTTTGAACTTGAAGGTTCAACTTGAAGTTTGAACTTGAAACTTGAACTCGAAGTTTGAACTTGAAGGTTGAACTTGAAGGTTCAACTTGAAGTTTGAACTTTAAGTTTGAACTTGAATGTTCAACTTGAAGTTTGAACTTGAGAGTTGAACTTGAAGGTTCAACTTGAAGTTTGAACTTGAAGGTTGAACTTGAAGTTTGAACTTGAAGGTTGAACTTGAAGGTTCAACTTGAAGTTTGAACTTGAAGGTTCAACTTGAAGTTTGAACTTGAAGGTTCAACTTGAAGTTTGAACTTGAAACTTGAACTCGAAGTTTGAACTTGAAGGTTGAACTTGAAGGTTCAACTTGAAGTTTGAACTTGAAGTTTGAACTTGAATGTTCAACTTGAAGTTTGAACTTGAAGTTTGAACTTGAAAGTTGAACTTGAAGGTTCAACTTGAAGTTTGAACTTGAAGTTTGAACTTGAAGTTTGAACATGAAGGTTGAACTTGAAGGTTGAACTTGAAGTTTGAACTTGAAGTTTGAACTTGAAGGTTGAACTTGAAGTTTGAACTCGAAGGTTGAACTTGAAGTTTGAACTTGAAGGTTGAACTTGAAGGTTGAACTTGAAGGTTCAACTTGAAGTTTGTACTTGAAGGTTGAACTTGAAGGTTCAACTTGAAGTTTGAGTTTGAAGGTTGAACTTGAAGTTTGAACTTGAAGTTTGAACTTGAAGGTTGAACTTGAAGGTTCAACTTGAAGTTTGAACTTGAAGGTTGAACTTGAAGGTTAAACTTGAAGTTTGAACTTGAAGGTTGAACTTGAAGGTTCAACTTGAAGTTTGAACTTGAAGGTTGAACTTGAAGGTTCAACTTGAAGTTTGAACTTGAAGGTTGAATTTGTAGTTTGAACTTGAAGTTTGAACTTGAAGGTTGAACTTGGAAGTTTGAACTTGAAGGTTGAACTTGAAGTTTGAACTTGAAGGTTCAACTTGAAGTTTGAACTTGAAGGTTGAACTTGAAGTTTGATTTCGAAGTTTGAACTTGAAGGTTCAACTTGAAGCTTGAACTTGAAGGTTGAACTTGAAGTTTGAACTTGAAGTTTGAACGAAGGTTGAACTTGAAGTTTGAACTTGAAGGTTTAACTTGAAGTTTGAACTTGAAGGTTCAACTTGAAGTTTGAACTTGAAGGTTGAACTTGAAGGTTTAACTTGAAGTTTGAACTTGAAGGTTCAACTTGAAGTTTGAATTTGAAGGTTGAACTTGAAGGTTCAATTTGAAGTCAAAACTTGAAGGTTGAACTTGAAGGTTGAACTTGAAGGTTCAACTTGAAAATTGAACTTGAAGGTTGAACTTGAAGTTTTGAACTTGAAGTTTGAACTTGAAGGTTGAACTTGAAGGTTGAACTTGAAGGTTGAACTTGAAGGTTCAACTTGAAGTTTGAACTTGAAGGTTGAACTTGAAGTTTGTACTTGAAGGTTGAACTTGAAGGTTGAACTTGAAGTTTGAACTTGAAGGTTGAACTTGAAGGTTCAACTTGAAGTTTGAACTTGAAGTTTGAACTTGAAGGTTGAACTTGAAGTTTGTACTTGAAGGTTGAACTTGAAGGTTCAACTTGAAGTTTGAACTTGAAGGTTGAACTTGAAGTTTGAACTTGAAGTTTGAACTTGAAGCTTGAACTTGAAGTTTGTACTTGAAGGTTGAACTTGAAGGTTGAACTTGAAGTTTGAACTTGAAGGTTGAACTTGAAGTTTGAACTTGAAGTTTGAACTTGAAGGTTGAACTTGAAGTTTGAACTTGAAGGTTGAACTTGAAGTTCAAACTTGAAGTTCGAACTTCAAGATCAGCCTTCAATTTCAACCTTCAAGTTCGAACTTCAAGTTGGAAATTGAAATTGTGAAGGTTAATATGACTTGCTTTTCTCAACATTCTCCACCAAATCGCATCCTGTCTCAAGAGCTCGTTTGTGGAGAAAAAATTGTTTAGGGTATGGGGTGGGGGCACTTTTTTTTATGATGCCGATATTTCAGGAAACTGAAATTGTGGAGGTTAATACGACTTGCTTTCCCCAACATTTTCTACCATATCGCATCTTGTCTCAAGAGCTCGTTTGTGAGAAAAAAATTGTTTAGGGTATGGGGTGGGGGCACTTTTTTCTATGATGTCGATATTTTAGGAAACTGAAATTGTGGAAGCTAATACGACTCGCTTTTCTCGACATTTTCTACCAGATCGCATCCTGTCTCAAGAGCTCGTTTGTGAGAAAAAAATTGTTGGGGCACTTTTTTTCCATGATGCCGATAATTTAGGAAATTGTAATTGTGGAGGTTAATATGACTTGCTTTTCTCAACGTTCTCCACCAAATCGCATCCTGTCTCAAGAGCTCGTTTGTGGAGAAAAAATTGTTTAGGGTATGGGGTGGGGGCACTTTTTTTTATGATGCCGATATTTCAGGAAACTGAAATTGTGGAGGTTAATACGACTTGCTTTCCCCAACATTTTCTACCATATCGCATCTTGTCTCAAGAGCTCGTTTGTGAGAAAAAAATTGTTTAGGGTATGGGGTGGGGGCACTTTTTTCTATGATGTCGATATTTTAGGAAACTGAAATTGTGGAAGCTAATACGACTCGCTTTTCTCGACATTTTCTACCAGATCGCATCCTGTCTCAAGAGCTCGTTTGTGAGAAAAAAATTGTTGGGGCACTTTTTTTCCATGATGCCGATAATTTAGGAAATTGTAATTGTGGAGGTTAATATGACTTGCTTTTCTCAACATTCTCCACCAAATCGCATCCTATCTCAAGAGCTCATTTGTGAGAAAAAAATTGTTCACGTTTTTCTATGAAACCGACATTTCAGGGAATTGAAATTCGCATCTTATCACAATATAGTTATTTCTCTAAAAAAAAAAGTTTAGGTTGGAATTGGAAATTTGGAGGCTTTCCTCAACATTTTTCACCAAATCGTAACCTTGCTCAAGAGCTTGTTTCTGTTTTAAAGTGGGGGTATGAATTCACTCTCTCATTCCCAATTGGTAGCAGAGGTATATTCTCCTGATTGTCACAAAAGCTGGTCAGTGAGAAAAAGACAATTTCATTTCTTCGTTGTCTAGTATTTATTACTTCCCGTCAATCATACTATTTCTATAATTAAAATATGTTCTTGCATGGCTTCGTCATATCCATGTCGTGGTCTCATAATCAGCAAAGTCCATCATCTGAGGTCCATCATATTTATCGTGTGAATCGGACTTGGTAGTGGGGGGTAAGCGCTAGATTTGGGCGCTGGCGTCGGGCGCTAACTTCACACAAGTTGACTGTTTGACTGTATTGTATTGAAATAAAATGTGTTATTGAAGTACAAACATGATTATATAAAGTGTCCAATGATGGTAAAAGAAGGACAAATAGTTGTAAATGGGTATCCAAGAAGGGTGGCAAAACATGGTGAGATTTCGCATTTTTTCGTAAAATATCTCAATAGATAGCGGTTTGTTCACATTTTCCTTGTGAAATTTGTGTTTTTTAGAGGAAGTACCAAAAAAAACCATCGCATGCACTTTTGCCCTAAAAATCGCTCCCATACCTACCTATTTTATCACTTACACAAGACTCACACAATGCGTGTACCTAACTTCATTTCTCTGATAATTGAATAATCTTGATATAAGAAATATTCGAAATTCTGTTTCAGAGTGAATTTAATGGTGGTTATTTCATGTAAGTTCATTGGAAACCCAGTGAAAATATCTTTGAGATTGTCACACCATCATCGATCTAAATGGAAACCTAGTAGGCGACCTAGTACGCGAGGAGGTATTAAAGCTCTTGCCTACTAACTACCTAACTAGGTTGTCATTCAGAAGTCAGAACGACAATTGATGTTTTGATAGTTGTTAGGGATGACTTGAAGGTATCGGATTTTTTTGAAATAAACGTGGCAACGTTGCAGCAGATGACGAATATCGAGGTCGAGAATAATGAAGGATTATAAAAGAAAAATGAAATGGTGAAAAGTGCAATGCTATTGCTCCAATCTGACAGTTCGTCTTTATATTGGCCAGTGAAGTAGTGTGATGACTGCGACAAAAATTCCAATTGTGGAATAAAAATAGCAGGTTGTTCAAGTTCACGTAAAGTGGTCAATAAACTATAGACAAAATTCTATGTGACGATATCGTTCCTGTACATAGACGTTTGGTTTGGTGATTTTTTTTACAATGGCTATGGAAATTGGCAATGGGGACACGGAAGTGGAACCCAGTAAAGTTTTTCAAAAAGAAAATGTGTACAACAAACTGTTACCGTACGCGGAGGACTTGGAAGAGGAATCCTATAACTTGTTCCTGGACATCAAAACGAATCTTGTCAAGTCCGTTTTGGCAAGGGAAATGAGACCAGGATGTGCCCTGTGGACCTCCAGATTAATGAAGTAAGAATTGATTACTAATATTTCCCCAAGATTATTACAATCATTCAATTATTGGCTTTTGAAAGTTTGGCATCAAGAAAATATCATGTCATCATGACCTTTTCAATTTGACAACAGTGACAGACAACTGTGATTGACGTTTGACAATCCATTCAACATCGGTCATGTGACAAGACAGGTCCGGGCTGAGCTCAAAATGATATCAATGGAAGGCCTCATTCATATTCTGGATTCTGAATATTGATAGTCCCATGGAAGTAAGAATGTTATGTTTTTCCAGGTATATAAAAATTTATGGAATGAAATTCTCTAAAGAGGACCATATTCTCCTAATTAAATTATTCTATGAGCTGGTGATCATCCCAGATTTAGAGCCAACAAGAATAAACAAATGTGCAACAACTTTGGTGCAATTGTTGAAGTGAGTATTTTTTCAAAAATCCTGACCACTGATTTTATTAATCAAATTATTCTAGAAAGAAATATTTGTTGACCAGAGATGAACTTCAGTTGGACTGGAGACCTCTGTATGAACTAGTTATTAAAGTCATGGAAAAAAATAAAACTGACATTGGGATGTACAGATATTCATCAAATTTTGAGGGTACTATTTTTCAGATGATCAAAGCTTGTAAAGTGTAAGTCTGGTTAAAAAAAACTGTGCTGTTCTCTAGAGAACAGGAAAACCATATTCTGTTGTAAAATTTCTCATTTAAGAGAAAAATTCAGGATTTCCAAGTAAATTTACAAAGTAGACTTTTTTATTTTTAGATATTTTCCAGCTTCCTGCACCCAGGAAATTTTAGATGAATTCCGACCTAGGATGTGTGCTTTTAATACTGTTGAGATGAGTAAAATCATCAAATGCTTTGAGCTTTTTTTACCAAACCATAGTAAACCAGAAGAGGCCAATATTGGTTATAAATTGTGGTTTGAAGAATTGATGAATTTATGGGACATGTGCCATGATGACAATCAATGGGAAAATGTGAGTGTTTAGTCAATGTAACAATAATAATCATATTGTGTCATATTGCTACTCATGCCTATTGTTTTCTACAATAGGTATTGGTATTGCATTTTTCACATTCAACAAATTCCACTGTGTTGTTTGTTACAGGATTCAAAAGATTTTTCATACCATTTAAAGCTCTTTTTGTTATAAATAATAATTATGAGTTGTTAATTAATAATCAACAGGTTGCCAACTCTAAATTGGTGAAATGCATTTTTTCTAGAAAAAATCCTGAAAATCCCTGATCAACAATAGAATAAATTGAATACTCACATGAATCATTGTAGACTGAATCATTTTGTCCACCCATATTGGTCAAGATCAAGAAATTATCCTTGGATTCCTCTGATATAATCTGCCTCCTGAAAAAACAAAAACAGGCTGTGTTTGATTCATAATTGACCAATAATTATTTTGTAAAAACTTCACAAACTATATCAAGAATACCACAAAATTTTTCAATTACTGACTAATTTTAGGTAGCTTTATTTTTCTCTTCAGCCTCTCCCTATATCTTTTGTTCTGGAACTAGACATTTTGATATAATCACATTCAATTTTACTTTGAGACCATTTTCATATTATTCTATAAAAGAACAAAAACAAATACCAAAATTATAGATAGCAGCCCTTTAAAACATATCAAATCCGGAATTCCCCTAACATAGTGGTGCTAGCCAGTGTTGCCAGCTGCTGAACATGAAATGTTGCAAACAATTTTAAAAAACTTAGTGACTTTTTTCATGATTTAGCGACATTTTTGATCATATTTCCTCATTTTCAGTTCAGATGAAAAATCGTAGAAAACTTCATTCGTTCAGGTAAATTTTCCTATACAATTTCATTCGGTACAGGTATAGGAACATTTGTAAATCACAACTTATATTTTTGGATCGTATTTGAGGTTTGTCTTTGATCTTATCACACGTCGATAAACCTGTGAAACCATAGCCATGTATCATATATATCTACTATGTCTACGCATCGCCTATACGATATCTCAACAAAAATGGGACCAAAATGAGATGTACTTTTTGAATCTATAAGGACGGAAAGTGAAGGATGGAAAATTTGAAATTAGTAGTCATATTCTCGTATTATATTTTCCCTACGTCGGCATCAACGCCTATTGGTCGATTTCGTTACCTATAGAGACAGAAGTTGGTCCCGCTTTGAGGACTGCTATGCTTCATATATATGAGTAGCAGATATATGCAATGTATCTTGCGACTTCATTGCTATAAGTCACATTCATTGGTTCCTATAAGTTTGAATACTGATTTAGACAAAATAAAATATTCACAAGCATCACAAGTTTTTAAACCATATCGAATATACAAAATATCATTGAAAAGTGGCGGAACTGGCGCAAATGATGAAAACTAACCCATTCTCTTCTCTGCTTATCTCTTTGTCTCGAATGTTTCAATGTGAATTATTCATATCCGTCGTCACCAATTCATATATGATCAAAATATCTCCATATAAACCGCTATGACTATGTTGAAAACGCTAGAATTCCGACACGTCGCAAATCAGGTTGAAATGTCGCATTAGCTCGCCCCAGCAACAGGGACACGAAAAAAGTTTAAAAAAAAAAGGGGAATTCCCCGATCGTCAAAGCTCACCCGCGCTGCCAACGGGCAACGAATCGTTACAAAATATGTAGAAACCAATGGATGCGTTCTACGGATTTTTGAAGGTCATAATTACATAAAATTACTCGTCACGGGTAATGTGACGTGAATAGTTTCGACACAAATAAATACTAAAGTTGAAAAATCTCGATTTTGAACACCCTATATCTCTGTAATCATTCCCGCTAGACCCCAAGTGTGATGTATTGATGAAATCAGCTCTTCAGGGAGAATCTAAAATCTAAAAATATAATGAAATACAGGGTGTTCCATTTGGAAAAATCAAGTAGTACTCTGTAGATCGTTTGTTCCGAGCACCCTGTATTTTCTGGTACAACGGGAGAGAAAATTCTGAAAAATCATTTTAGACGATTTTTCAGATTTCTAAATCGGTTGAAATATAAGTGAGCTAGAGGGGGGGGGCATTTATGGTGGATCACCCTGCACTTCCTCTAGCAAAACGGTTGCCATTTTTCACACCAGTGAATAATATCAATGAATAACCATAATTCACTGGTCTAGAGTTCCTAGGGTACGCGATATAACATATAAGGAACTTTGTATCTTCAATTTTCAGTTTTCTTAATGTAAATGAGTTATGATAAGGTAGTTGAAAATAAATTTTTAATATCAAAGACAATAGTAGTCGTGGACAAAGTATAGTATTCTACTCGCATATATTGAGCTATTATTCACTCGTAAATAATAGTCCTCATTATATGCTTGTTGAATAATATACTTATTCTTGTCGAATTCAGAATATGATGTGGATAATGACGGGCCTAGCTAGAGCCCAGATAGGCCACATCGATTGGCAGCCCTACATTCCGGGCATGTTCGTCCGATTCCAAAGGACCTTCCAGCTGCCGGTGGCCTTCAAACAGCGCCACATGGGCCGATTCCACAAGATCGACATATCGGCCATGTCGGTGTGGATAGTGTGCGTTCTCAACGGAGACAACAATATCGCCTTCTTCCACTTGGAGAAGTTCATGCAGAGTTTGGAGTCGTACTATTATTCGGCTAATATGGGAAGGTAACTATGTCGAGTGTTTAGTACTTGTATGACCTTTTATGTATATAATAATTTGGTATTTGTATTTACCCTGTATAGTATAAGATATTTTCATTCGTTGTTAACATGACGACGTGTTATTCAAACATAAGATTTCTCTATAAAAAATAATGAATAAAGAAGAATTGCAATTCTCATATCAATCTTTCTCTCATCATCATATCCATACAAATACAGTCCACTATCTATCAAGCATCGAACAAATTGATCCGGCTCGAAGGACCAATATGTTCGATGCTTGATAGGTAGTGGACTGCATTTGTATGGATATGATAATAATGAAATGAAGATTGATATGGGAATTGCAAATCGAATTTGTTTTCCTCCTTTATTCTCAAAAAAACTAGTACTATTCAAGGAGTCTTACATTCATATATAATTACACCTTGTCCCTTCCCTTTCCTAAAGATTTTTTTGAGTGGTGTAGATGCTTCAGATATACTTCTAAATTATAGTATATGAAACTCATTCCATTTCTTGTTTTGATAACTGACAGTTCAATTTGAGAATGATTTCATGTTTATATCAGGCCTATATTTGATGATGATATTTGATTTATTCAATAATTGATAAATCAATATGTTGTTTTGATAAATGAATATTTTCTTAATAGCTGTTATGTTGAAATTCGAAACAGACTTTGAGTGTGAAAACAGTTATCCAATTGGTACAAGTTCATGATTGCAACCCAAATTATTGTGAGATACTGTAGATGTGAATGAAGTAATAAAAAAGTGTACAGATCTTAAGAATTTTCTTGGAAGAATATAATTCAGTCTCCGCAACACCCCTGTTGGTGCCAATATTTTCTTTCTTATATAATCAATGTGATCTCTCCACGAAAGAGATATTTTTTTGCAATTGCATTACCTCGTTGGTCCCAGCACTGGGACCAAACGCCCCATAAGTCGAAACTTGTGCGGGGTTAGGTAAGCATACAAACACAAACATCCATGGCCTAACTAGGATTCGAACCTATGTCTCGGTGGGAGTCCCCATACGAACTCAGCGCCTTCACGCTCTCGACCACCGAGCCACCGAGATATGTCTTTTAATTCCTAGAAATTGACATTACTTGAGTGTTTCAGTGATGAGCTTCGCAGGTTAATCAACTTTTTTTTCCAAGATGGACACATAAACTTCGTGAACTGCTACGCAGCCTGTCATTCTACTTCATACAACGCGTTCACGGAGAGCGGTATAAGACTCCCTCCTGGGAATTCGAAGTACCAGAACATCACAAACTGACGGACGATGATATTGGCAGGTAAGTTTATATCTATAAGCTGTCAGCTTCCTTCTTCTTTATTAAGATATTGATTACACAATTTGTTTATCACACTTATTTGCATCACCCAATCATGTCGGTCCAAGCATCAGTTCAAAATAAAATTATTTTTTCATTCATGTACGAACCGTTTTCAATCAGAACATTCTCCTTACAAAGAAAGTTTGTGATATTAGGATACAGAAAAGTTCTGACCATAAAGGAATAAAATTATCTAACCCATAACACTAAGACAAGGTTCATCAGAAGTTTGTCAGATTAAAACACAAAAAAGTCCTGGCCACAAAGGAATAAAACTAAGAAAATCCCCATAATACTGAGACAAGGTTCATCAGACTGTCTGAAGAAGAGACTTTGACGGCAATTTAGGCACTGAATGTTTTTACCGATGTTATACAGTTCAATTAGCTCCTCAAAACCTTTCAGTCTAAAATTACAGTCATACATTGTTCTTCTCGGAAACACGACAGGTACCCCTACGAGTGGAGAGTTCGAACTCTTGGTTTCTATAAACCCTTTTTGAATAAAAAAATTTAGAAGACTCGACAATGCTAAGGATATCAGAAAGATCAAGTCATAAATACACTTCTAAAGTGATTATCAACCTTCTGTTAAATTCATGAAAAAACTCAAACTTTTCACACAGGTTCGTCAACATTTTGAAACCGTGCATCGAGCATGCCATGTTCAACAGGATGGGCATGCAAGACACCAGCCTGACGCTGCAGTATTTGGCCTCCCTGAGACCGAACATTATCATCCCGATGACTTTGGAAAAGTTGTATGCCTCCATGAACAGCCTAACGGAGCCCCACAAATTGACGTCCTCCATGATGGCTGTCATCGCATGTGGAAGGTGAAAACTTTAAGCTTAAATATTTCGTGACTGTTGAATGGGATAGGGTTTATTTTATGGAAAGATGGGTATTCGGGTTTAATATTTTGGCGCCTATGTAAATCAAGCAGCTGTTAACAAAAATGTGTTTACAAGGTCTCAAATGTTCTACAGAAGGATTTCAATCAATTGGAACTGGAAGCATTGGAGGTAGCAGATGAAAACCTTGATTTACAGTGTTGCCAACAAAGGAAACTCGTTTTTACTATTGATATTGTAGGTTCATGGTCCAGGGCTCTCGAAACAACTACCCGGAAGGCCCCACCCACATCATCCCACTTCTGATCGAGTTGCTGCCCGGTATCGATCCGAACGACATCCGAAAATCCTACGTCACCTTCAACTTTATCGTCCACTTCGTCAATATGATCCCGTTGATCAACTCTTCAGGTAACATTGCAACTCTACTCTAGTATCTTTTAGTATACAGGATGAGTCAAAAATGTGTACCCAGTTTTCTGGAACGAGAGTACATTGAAAAATAAGTATATAGTTTGAAGAATAATCTAATGGCCCAAAATGTGTATTGAAGGAGATATATCCTCCCAAAGTTGATCAAATAGAAAAAAATGTTCACATAGCCTAAATGGTAGAAGCTACCAAATTGAAATTTCCTGCTTAAATGTATGTTGATGAAATACAGTTTTTTAATGCAATTCTACATCTGCTATAGTTATAAAGGGTTTAAACTTCTTTTTCTTGTGTTCTTTTCGGTGAAAAAACAGAAACATCTGATAGAGAGAAGAAAATTAGCTAAAAATTGGTACTCGTATCAAGATACAAAAAATGTAACCTTTCTTGAGATATTCGAGTTTTTTTATTGACATGATATCAGCAGGTAAATTCATCAGTAACAATATTTTAGTAGGCCTCGAACTTCTTGGCCGGCCATCATCTCTATTTTTCGTTTTGGAACATTCTTTTTCACGCAATCTTTGCACAATCCTCAGAATTGTTCTAGAATTTGGAACGCGTCAAGCGGGAAACATCTCTGCATCACGAATAATCTGCCATTTCTTGAAATCACAGTTGAAAATCGCACCAATAATATAACAAAGCAAAAAAAAAGCAAACGAAGAAATTATCAATAACAATGTAGTTCATTCTTGACTTCTTCGAGCAACTAGCATTTCCAAATATTTCTTATACTCCATAACAATATAGCATGTAAATGTTGGAGACTTGGCAACATTGTGCTGAATGCTGAGAATTGACAAGACACCGCCCACAATTCGTGCGCCGTGTTGTCACGTTTACTAGTTCGAATGTGAATGAATATAATTTTCATTCACACAAGTGTATTATAATCAATAAGCCACAAGACATGAGGATACATTTTGAGACAATACATGATTGAGAATGTATGAATCATTGAAATGTATAGCCGTTTGAAAATTACAGTGGCATTATTAATGATTTTAGCACCTCAAAATCGAGAAAAGAAATAAATAAAATGAGTCCACTCGCGTATGATTGATAATTTTGATTGAAGAGGCCGGTCAGCACTATCAGCTGACAGAAGAAGAACACGTGGTATGCGAGGCGTCGGCAGGCTTCGAAGACTTCGTGCTGCAATTTTTCGACAAGCTGTGCGTTTGGGTGGAATCCAACAGCTTGGACTTCGTCAGGCTGGAGCAGATGACCAACAACGACAACATGAAGAACAGGTTGGAGACGATCTCGGAGAGCGCGCTGGGGTCCGTCATCGGGGTGGTTTTGAACCAGTGTTCGCCCGATATTTTCAAGGTAAAATAAAAAAAAAATCCAGCCACCGACAAAAATTGATAGTTTATGCACCACACTATTGTGAACTCGGTAACTGTGAAAGATAGAGTCGACTAAATTACGAAAGTTCAGCAAATTCAATGAGCCTCTTTCAGTGGAATATTTTATGGCATTATTTCGAAGTACTAACCCTAAATGGTTCACTGTCGCAGACCATTCTTTCCTCAGAGCTCTGTATTTTTTATAAATAATTCTTGAAATCGACGATATTTCATAACATGAAAAACGCGGAAAAACTTTATATCTGATAGACAAGTGCAAGAATATTTCTGATTGTCATTTCAATCAGAATATGGAATTGATCTTCGGGATTGAATACTCACTGCAGACAAACAGAGATTCAACACACAAATAAAGAATCAGATAATATGAGGATTATCTTTGAATATTCACATATTAACTGTGAAGGTGACAGACGATATTATATATCGATAATTACCGATGTCTTCTCAATATATTGGCAAAAATGAATTAGGTGCATTTGTGTGATACCCAGACGCTATCACAATATCCAGACAATAGTTATATAATATTTTTGAAATAAATTTAATTTTTTTTTTGTCAGGTTTTTTTTTAGGCATGAAATTATATTGCATAGGTAGATAGGTAGAGGTAGCAGGTAGTTTCTATGCTGATTTAATGAGTGTGGTTGTAGATTCTATAGCCTTTGCTTTGGAGAAAAAATGAGATTATTTTGAGTTAGGCGTCGGAAAAAAACCCTAGTTGAAGTTTCTTGAAACAATCTAGAGGTGGTACATTTATTATTCCATATTTTTTGGGATTTTCTCTCCTGGTCTCTATAAAATAAAAATATGAATACTGTTTCTATATTCGTGTAGTTAGGACAAATCAGATGATTTGCGCCAAAATGTCACTGCGTTTAAAGAATTTTCCTATCAGAGAACCTAAAAGAAAAATTCACTACCTTGTCAGTGACAATTTGTATTGAAAAAGGTTTGAAGAAGAGAAATAAAGGTATATAGAAAAAATATCAAATTAAGAATTTGCTTGCATTCTTCAACGGAGACAATAGCATTGCTTCCTGTTCAGTTGATATAAACTGGGCGTCAATTGAAACGTTAATAGTGAAATTTGGCATCAAGTTTGACTTCTCGTAATTTCTAAAATATTGAACCAATTTTGAATTGCCGCCCAAATTCTGAATGCCTTTTTCATCGTCTTTCGAACCGTTCCTTACAGCTTCTTCTAAATTGATCAGGACCCGTGATACAGGGTGAAACAAAGTTTCGTGCATTTTGAAAAAAATTTCTCCGCCCCCCCATTTTGTCGGAAGACCACGATGCTCATATTTCATTCGGGCATTTCATGAATAGCAACCATACCTCGGGACGTTTTCGAGTTTTTGCCAAAAACTACTGTGGTTTCCGAAAAAAAATTTTTTTTTGTATTTTTTTAAATGGACTAATTTTAGAGGAGTTCCATAAATGGATGCTTTTATGCATTTCAGGAAAGCGTTGGAGCAGATATGTATACCAGGTTACTCAAAAACAATCAATAATTTATTACTTCGCAGTCTATGATAAAAGTTTTCTACCTTAGTGAGCAGTTAATCAACACATCTCATCAACAAATACAAACAACGATACCTTGTTTCTATAACAGCGTATTGTTGAAACAATGTAGGTATGCATAGAGGTTATATCAATTGCCAATTCTCATGAAAATGTCAGTGTAATTCGGGTCCTAAAAAATTTGAAGATGTCTCGTTTAAATCGGGTCGAAATGGAAAATATCATTAGGTAAGATCACTATAGTTATATTAACTATAATTCAGTACAGATAATTATTATTTCAGGTTACGACAATTAGGATATACCCAAACTCATTTAAGTACCATTTTCAATAAGTCAGTCATGACAATAAGGAGACTGATTCATCGTTTTGAGGATACGGGTAATTAGTCCATTCAAAAAAAATTCTAAAAATTTTTTTTTTCGGAAACCACAGTAGTTTTTGGCAAAAACTCGAAAACGTCCCGAGGTATGGTTGCTATTTATGAAATGCCTGAATAAAATATGAGCATCGTGGTCTTCCGACAAAATGGAGGGGCGGAGAAATTCTTTTCAAAATGCACGAAACTTTGTTTCACCCTGTATCACGGGTCCTGATCAATTCAGAAGAAGTTGTAAGGAACGGTTCAAAAGACGATGAAAAAGGCATTCAGAATCTGGGCGGCAATTCAAAATTCGTTCAATATTTTAGAAATTACGAGAAGTCAAACTTGATGCCAAATTTCACTATTAACGTTTCAATTGACGCCCAGTTTAGATAAAACATGGTATTCACTACTGAAAACTGAACATGAGAATGGTAAATTCGAGATTAATTATTGAAAACATCCTGTAACTCACTGGGAGCAGATTCGTTCCCGAAACGTCCAAAGATAAGTAAAAATTTAATATTTTTTCTATATGCCTAAATCCCAAAAAATCTGGAACAATAACTCCATGGGCTCAGAGACAAGCATTAGTTTGGTTTTAATTTTTCCGCTCTAACATACCCTGTATCATCGATTTCAGAGCGCCCTGAGGAAAATCTACAATTTCGTGACGTCCAAAGTGATGGAGGTGCACATTTCCGGAAAGATGTTGGCCATAGCCTGTCACTGTTTCGCCAAGGTCAATCCCAAGGAAACTCTGAAGCTGTTTCTGCCGCATTTGTGCGACAGGATCGAGGAGATGCTCAGCGAAAATCCCAACATCGAAAAGGAGGAACACATCGACGACGAGTTGCTCTATAATTTGCTGATGCTGTCAGAGGTAAAAAGTGATGGAAAAATCAGTCATACACACGTAAATAAGAAACTAATTCCGCCGACCTCGTATTAACGGGTATAAGTTTAATGGTTATGAAATTGATCATTAATAATAATAATAATAATAATAATAGCGTCTTTATTCATTTAAAAATACATTTGAATTACAATGTTTTTAAGTGTTGGCGACATTCGGCTGCAGCCGTTCTTCCATGTAACCAACGACCAATGACTCCCTATTAATGAACGATTTGTCTATTAATGCACGATTGCAGCATAGGCAACCAAACATACACTATTTATGTTATAACTTAATAATCTGCATTTAAATCGAAAATATGGATTTCATCAAAGATTTTCCGTAAACGGTTTAGCCTTTCCAAGTTCCTGTAACGATTTTAATCCCTGTTTTTGAACACAAGGAATTTATTTTCTATGTTGATTGTTTTGACAAATGTCAAATGTTGAGAATTACGAGGATACAGGAGGGACAGCTGTCGATGTGCCTGTTAGTATAGTATAAAAGCAGAAAGCTGAGTTTGAGCGTCGATATCTCAGAAACTATCTGTCCTATCGGGCTGATCATGATCTCATTCGATTCAGCGTGTCATTTTCTACTGGAAAAGCGATAATTCGCGTGGATTTCTTCCGTTTTCTGGCACTTTCGGCCGTCCGAAGATAGCTCGGTGACTATATCGTACTGAAGTCCCAGGTGGGAAAATTAAAATTTTTATTTGGCGTATTAAAATTCTGAAAAAATTCAAATAGACTAATTCGATGTTGAAATGAACGAATCTGTGGAGAAAATTTGTAAATTTTGGATAATTGAGACGTAGTAGCCTACCGGAGTGCTCCTATTGGCAATAAAAGCGGAAAGCTGAGTTTGAGCGTCGATATCTCAGAAACTATCTGTCCTATCGGGCTGATCATGGTCTTATTCGATTCAGCGTGTCATTTTCTACTGGAAAAGCGATAATTCGCGTGGATTTCGGCCGTTTTCTGGCACTTTCGGCTGTCCGAAGATAGCTCGGTGACTATATCGTACGGAAGTCTTAGGTGGGAAAATGAAAATTTTTATTTGGCCTATTAAAAATCTGAAAAAATTCACATAGACTAATTCGATGTCGTAATGAACGATTTTGTGGTGGAAATTGGGAAATTTTGGATAATGGAGACGTAGTAGCCTACCGGAGTGCTCCTATTGGCAATAAAAGCGGAAAGCTGAGTTTGAGCGTCGATATCTCAGAAACTATCTGTCCTATCGGGCTGATCATACTCTCATTCGATTCAGCGTGTCATTTTCTACTGGAAAAGCGATAATTCGCGTGGATTTCTTCCGTTTTCTGGCACTTTCGGCCGTCCGAAGATAGCTCGGTGACTATATCGTACTGAAGTCCCAGGTGGGAAAATGAAAATTTTTATTTGGCGTATTAAAATTCTGAAAAAATTCAAATAGACTAATTCGATGTTGAAATGAACGAATCTGTGGAGAAAATTTGAAAATTTTGGATGATTGAGACGTAGTAGCCTACCGGAGTGCTCCTATTGGCAATAAAAGCGGAAAGCTGAGTTTGAGCGTCGATATCTCAAAAATTATCTGTCCTATCGGGCTGATCATGGTCTCATTCGATTCAGCGTGTCATTTTCTACTGGAAAAGTGATAATTCGCGTGGATTTCGGCCGTTTTCTGTCACTTTCGGCTGTCCGAAGATAGCTCGGTGACTATATTTTACGGAAGTCTTAGGTGGGAAAATGAAAATTTTTATTTGGGCTATTAAAAATCTGAAAAAAATCACATAGACTAATTCGATGTTGAAATGAACGAATCTGTGGAGAAAATTTGAAAATTTTGGATGATTGAGACGTAGTAGCCTACCGGAGTGCTCCTATTGGCAATAAAAGCGGAAAGCTGAGTTTGAGCGTCGATATCTCAGAAACTATCTGTCCCATCGAGCTGATCATTCTCTCATTCGATTCAGCGTGTTTTTTTTTACTGAAAAAGCGATAATTCGCGTGAATTTCTGCCGTTTTCTGGCACTTTCGGCCCTCCCAAGATTGTTCGGTGACTATATTGTACGAAAGTCTTAGGTGGGAAAATGAAAATTTTTAATTGGCCTATTAAAAATCTGAAAAAATTGACATATCCTAATTCGATGTCATAATGAACGAATATGTGTTGGAAATTGGGAAATTTTGGATAATTGAGACGTAGTAGCCTACCGCAGTGCTCCTACTGGCAATAAAAGCGGAAAGCTGAGTTTGAGCGTCGATATCTCAGAAACTATCTGTCCGATCGGGCTGATCATGACCTCATTCGATTCAGCGTGTCATTTTCCACTGGAAAAGCGATAATTCGCGTGGATTTCGGCCGTTTTCTGGCACTTTCGGCTGTCCGAAGATAGCTCGGTGACTATATCGTACGGAAGTCTTAGGTGGGAAAATGAAAATTTTTATTTGGCCTATTAAAAATCTGAAAAAATTCACATAGACTAATTCGATGTCGTAAAAAACGAACATGTGGTGAAAATTGGGAAATTGTGGATAATGGAGACGTACTAGCCTACCGGAGTGCTCCTACTGGCAATAAAAGCGGAAAGCTGAGTTTGAGGGTCGATATCTCAGAAACTATCCGTCCTATCGGGCTGATCATGGTCTCATTCGATTCAGCGTGTCATTTTCTACTGGAAAAGTGATAATTCGCGTGAATTTCCGCCGTTTTCTGGCACTTTCGGCTGTCCGAAGATAGCTCGGTGACTATATCGTACGGAAGTCTTAGGTGGGAAAATGAAATTTTTTATTTGGTCTATTAAAAATCTGAAAAAATTCACATAGAATAATTCGATGTTGCAATGAACGATTCTGTGGAGAAAATTTGGAAATTTTGGATAATTGAGACGTAGTAGCCTACCAGAGTGCTCCTATTGGCAATAAAAGCGGAAAGCTGAGTTTGAGCGTCGATATCTCAGAAACTATCCGTCCTATCGGGCTGACCATGGTCTCATTCGATTCAGCGTGTCGTTTTCTACTGGAAAAGTAATAATTCGCGTGGATTTCTTTCGTTTTCTGGCACTTTCGGCTGTCCGAAGATAGCTCGGTGACTATATCGTACGAAAGTCTTAGGTGGGAAAATGAAAATTTTTATTTGGCCTATTAAAAATCTGAAAAAATTCACATAGACTAATTCGATGTCGTAATGAACGAATCTGTGGTGGAAATCGGGAAATTTTGGATAATGGAGACGTAGTAGCCTACCGGAGTGCTCCTATTGGCAATAAAAGCGGAAAGCTGAGTTTGAGCGTCTATATCTCAGAAACTATCCGTCCTATCGGGCTGATCATGGTCTCATTCGATTCAGCGTGTCATTTTCTACTGGAAAAGCGATAATTCGCGTGGATTTCGGCCGTTTTCTGGCACTTTCGGCTGTCCGAAGATAGCTCGGTGACTATATCGTACGGAAGTCTTAGGTGGGAAAATGAAAATTTTTATTTGGTCAATTAAAAATCTGAAAAAATTCACATAGACTAATTCGATGTCGTAAAAAACGAATATGTGGTGAATATTGGGAAATTGTGGATAATGGAGACGTAGTAGCCTACCGGAGTGCTCCTATTGGCAATAAAAGCGGAAAGCTGAGTTTTAGCGTCGATATCTCAGAAACTATTCGTCCGATCGGGCTGATCATGATCTCATTCGATTCAGCGTGTCATTTTCTACTGGAAAAGTGATAATTCGCGTGAATTTCTCCCGTTTTCTGGCACTTTCGGCCGTCCGAAGATAGCTCGGTGACTATATCGAACGGAAGTCTTAGGTGGGAAAATGAAAATTTTTATTTGGTCTATTAAAAATCTGAAAAAATTCACATAGACTAATTCGATGTCGTAAAAAACGAATATGTGGTGAAAATTGGGAAATTTTGGATAATGGAGACGTACTAGCCTACCGGAGTGCTCCTACTGGCAATAAAAGCGGAAAGCTGAGTTTGAGCGTCGATATCTCAGAAACTATCTGTCCGATCGGGCTGATCATGACCTCATTCGATTCAGCGTGTCATTTTCCACTGGATAAGCGATAATTCGCGTGGATTTCGGCCGTTTTCCGGCACTTTCGGCTGTCCGAAGATAGCTCGGTGACTATATCGTACGGAAGTCTTAGGTGGGAAAATGAAAATTTTTATTTGGCCTATTAAAAATCTGGAAAAATTCACATAGACTAATTCGATGTTGCAATGAACGAATCTGTGGTGAAAATTGGGAAATTTTGGATAATGGAGACGTAGTAGCCTACCAGAGTGCTCCTATTGGCAATAAAAGCGGAAAGCTGAATTTGAGCGTCGATATCTCAGAAACTATCTGTCCTATCGGGCTGATCATGATTTCATTCGATTCAGCGTGTCATTTTCTACTGGAGAAGTGATAATTCGCGTGGATTTCCGCCATTTTCTGGCACTTTCGGCCGTCCGAAGATGGCTCGGTGACTATATTGTACGAAAGTCAGGTGGGAAAATGAAAATTTTTATTTGCCCTATTAAAAATCTGAAAAAATTCACATAGACTAATTCGATGTCGTAAAAAACGAATATGTGGTGAAAATTGGGAAATTTTGGATAATGGAGACGTACTAGCCTACCGGAGTGCTCCTACTGGCAATAAAAGCGGAAAGCTGAGTTTGAGCGTCGATATCTCAGAAACTATCTGTCCGATCGGGCTGATCATGACCTCATTCGATTCAGCGTGTCATTTTCCACTGGATAAGCGATAATTCGCGTGGATTTCGGCCGTTTTCCGGCACTTTCGGCTGTCCGAAGATAGCTCGGTGACTATATCGTACGGAAGTCTTAGGTGGGAAAATGAAAATTTTTATTTGGCCTATTAAAAATCTGGAAAAATTCACATAGACTAATTCGATGTTGCAATGAACGAATCTGTGGTGAAAATTGGGAAATTTTGGATAATGGAGACGTAGTAGCCTACCAGAGTGCTCCTATTGGCAATAAAAGCGGAAAGCTGAATTTGAGCGTCGATATCTCAGAAACTATCCGTCCTATCGGGCTGATCATGGTCTCATTCGATTCAGCGTGTCATTTTCTGCTGGAAAAGTGATAATTCGCGTGAATTTCCGCCGTTTTCTGGCACTTTCGGCTGTACGAAGATAGCTCGGTGACTATATCGTACGGAAGTCTTAGGTGGGAAAATGAAAATTTTTTTTTGGTCTATTAAAAATCTGAAGAAATTCACATAGACTAATTCGATGTCGTAATGAACGAATCTGTGGTGGAAATCGGGAAATTTTGGATAATGGCGACGTAGTAGCCTACCGGAGTGCTCCTACTGGCAATAAAAGCGGAAAGCTGAGTTTGAGCGTCGATATCTCAGAAACTATTCGTCCGATCGGGCTGATCATGATCTCATTCGATTCAGCGTGTCATTTTCTACAGAAGTGATAATTCGCGTGGATTTCGGCCATTTTCTGGCACTTTCGGCTGTCCGAAGATAGCTCGGTGACTATATCGTACGGAAGTCTTAGGTGGAAAAATGAAAATGTTTATTTGGCCTATTAAAAATCTGAAAAAAATCACATAGAATAATTCGATGTTGCAATGAACGATTCTGTGGAGAAAATTTGGAAATTTTGGATAATTGAGACGTAGTAGCCTACCAGAGTGCTCCTATTGGCAATAAAAGCGGAAAGCTGAGTTTGAGCGTCGATATCTCAGAAACTATCCGTCCTATCGGGCTGATCATGGTCTCATTCGATTCAGCGTGTCATTTTCTACTGGAAAAGTGATAATTCGCGTGAATTTCTTTCGTTTTCTGGCACTTTCGGCCGTCCGAAGATAGCTCGGTGACTATATCGTACGAAAGTCTTAGGTGGGAAAATGAAAATTTTTATTTGGCCTATTAAAAATCTGAAAAAATTCACATAGACTAATTCGATGTCGTAATGAACGAATCTGTGGTGGAAATTGGGAAATTTTGGATAATGGAGACGTAGTAGCCTACCGGAGTGCTCCTATTGGCAATAAAAGCGGAAAGCTGAGTTTTAGCGTCGATATCTCAGAAACTATTCGTCCGATCGGGCTGATCATAATCTCATTCGATTCAGCGTGTCATTTTCTACTGGAAAAGTGATAATTCGCGTGAATTTCTGCCGTTTTCTGGCACTTTCGGCTGTCCGAAGATAGCTCGGTGACTATATCGAACGGAAGTCTTAGGTGGGAAAATGAAAATTTTTATTTGGTCTATTAAAAATCTGAAAAAATTCACATAGACTAATTCGATGTTGAAATGAACGAATCTGTGGAGAAAATTTGGAAATTTTGGATAATTGAGACGTAGTAGCCTACCGGAGTGCTCCTATTGGCAATAAAAGCGGAAAGCTGAGTTTGAGCGTCGATATCTCAGAAACTATCTGTCCTATCGGGCTGATCATGGTCTCATTCGATTCAGCGTGTCATTTTCTACTGGAAAAGCGATAATTCGCGTGGATTTCGGCCGTTTTCTGGCACTTTCGGCTGTCCGAAGATAGCTCGGTGACTATATTTTACGGAAGTCTTAGGTGGGAACATGAAAATTTCTATTTGGCCTATTAAAAATCTGAAAAAGTTCACATAGACTAATTCGATGTCGTAATGAACGAATCTGTGGTGGAAATCGGGAAATGTTGGATAATGGAGACGCAGTAGCCTACCGGAGTGCTCCTATTGGCAATAAAAGCGGAAAGCTGAGTTTTAGCGTCGATATCTCAGAAACTATTCGTCCGATCGGGCTGATCATAATCTCATTCGATTCAGCGTGTCATTTTCTACTGGAAAAGTGATAATTCGCGTAAATGTCTGCCGTTTTCTGGCACTTTCGGCTGTCCGAAGATAGCTCGGTGACTATATCGAACGGAAGTCTTAGGTGGGAAAATGAAAATTTTTATTTGCCCTATTAAAAATCTGAAAAAATTCACATAGACTAATTCGATGTCGTAAAGAACGAATATGTGGTGAAAATTGGGAAATTTTGGATAATGGAGACGTAGTAGCCTACCGGAGTGCTCCTATTGGCAATAAAAGCGGAAAGCTGAGTTTGAGCGTCGATATCTCAGAAACTATTCGTCCGATCGGGCTGATCATGATCTCATTCGATTCAGCGTGTCATTTTCTACTGGAGAAGTGATAATTCGCGTGGATTTCGGCCATTTTCTGGCACTTTCGGCCGTCCGGAAATAGCTCGGTGACTATATTGTACGAAAGTCTTAGGTGGGAAAATGAAAATTTTTATTTGGGCTATTAAAAATCTGAAAAAAATCACATAGACTAATTCGATGTCGTAAAGAACGAATATGTGGTGAAAATTTTGAAATTTTGGATAATTATGACGTAGTAGCCTACCGGAGTGCTCCTATTGGCAATAAAAGCGGAAAGCTGAGTTTGAGCGTCGATATCTCAGAAACCATCTGTCCTATCGGGCTGATCATGGTCTTATTCGAATCAGCGTGTCATTTTCTACTGGAAAAGTGATAATTCGCGTGGATTTCGGCCGTTTTCTGTCACTTTCGGCTGTCCGAAGATAGCTCGGTGACTATATTTTACGGAAGTCTTAGGTGGGAAAATGAAAATTTTTATTTGGCCTATTAAAAATCTGAAAAAAATCACATAGACTAATTCGATGTCGTAATGAACGAATCTGTGGTGGAAATTGGGAAATTTTGGATAATGGAGACGTAGTAGCCTACCAGAGTGCTCCTATTGGCAATAAAAGCGGAAAGCTGAGTTTGAGCGTCGATATCTCAGAAACTATCCGTCCTATCTGGTTGATCATGGTCTCATTCGATTCAGCGTGTCATTTTCTACTGGAAAAGTGATGATTCGCGTGAATTTCCGCCGTTTTCTGGCACTTTCGGCTGTCCGAAGATAGCTCGGTGACTATATCGTACGGAAGTCTTAGGTGGGAAAATGAAAATTTTTATTTGGGCTATTGAAAATCTGAAAAGAATCACATAGACTGATTCGATGTCTTAAAGAACACATATGTGGTGGAAATTGGGAAATTCAGGATAACGGAGACGTAGTAGCTTACCGGAGTGCTCCTATTGGCAATAAAAGCGGAAAGCTGAGTTTGAGCGTCGATATCTCGAAAACTATTCGTTCTATCGGGCTGATCATGATCTCATTCGATTCAGCGTGTCATTTTCTACTGGAAAAGCGATAATTCGCGTGAATTTTTGCCGTTTTCTGGCACTTTCGGTCGTCCGAAGATGGCTCGGTGACTATATCGTACGGAAGTCCCAGATGGGAAAATGAAAATTTTTTTTTGGCGTATTAAAATTCTGAAAAAATTCACATAGACTAATTCGATGTCGTAATGAACGAATCTGTGGTGGAAATTGGGAAATTTTGGATAATGGAGACGTAGTAGCCTACCGGAGTGCTCCTACTGGCAATAAAAGCGGAAAGCTGAGTTTGAGCGTCGATATCTCAGAAACTATTCGTCCGATTGGGCTGATCATACTCTCATTCGATTCAGCGTGTCATTTTCTTCTGGAAAAGCGATGGATTCCGGCCGTTTTCTGGCACTTTCGTCCGTCCTAAGATGGCTCGGTGACTATATCGTACGAAAGTCTTAGGTGGGAAAATGAAAATTCTTATTTGGCCTATTAAAAATCTGAAAAAATTCACATAGACTAATTCGCTGTCGTAATGAACGAATCTGTGGGGGAAATCGAGGAATTTTGAAGAAGTAGCCTACCGGAGTGCTCCTATTGGCAATAAAAGCGGAAAGCTGAGTTTGAGCGTCGATATCTCGAAAACTATTCGTTCTATCGGGCTGATCATGATCTCATTCTATTCAGCGTGCCATGTTCTACTGATTTGGACGGGCTTAAAGTATTATGTGCTGTTGCAAGGGATACTCTGCAATTTTCCTAGAGGATATCCGGTTTATATAAAACAAGGAACTAATTCGCAAAATAATGACTGAGCGAGATATGATTATTATTTTTTCATTTTTTAATATTACGAAAGTGAAAAATTATAGATACTATTGCAAAATATTATAATGAACCTTCATTAGTGATCAACTTCAGCCTTCCGGAATTCCAGACATATTGATGAAGCCGGCATAGGAATGGTGTAGGAGGTCAATTTCCGTTTTCATTTATTTTCTTCTAGAGTGGAAGTTGATTTTATGAAAAAAAAAATACGTGCATGCATATTAAAATTTTACAAACTTCACAGTGAGATAAAAAAAATTATTGGAAACTTCCTCGAAGTTCTTTGTATTCTTTCAGGACCATGTGAATAAAAGATTGCTTTCAAAAATGTTTTATTTTTTTCAGTTAGTGGATGGTCATTCCGAAATATTGAACTACATGGATAGAATCACCAATATAATGGACAAAACTATCCATATGACTTGCTTGAGCGCCAGCCTTCTAGCAGCCAGAATGCTAGAACTGATGATGTCATCTTTGGCCAACATTCAACCGACAGAAATGAAAAGTTGTGACGTCGACTACTCTCTACCAATCAGCGAATTTTTGTCTGTTAGGTTAGTATTTGGGTTATCATATGAAATTTCGACCTTAAAATTGTTCAAAACCTCAAAATTTCAACTTCATCACGTCTTCATTATGATTGTGGACAAACCGGACAAACGCTATATTTGTTTCCTTTATCTTACATGAATTAAATTTGCTAGATGTTCTCTAAACCTAGTTTCCATAGGTCTTCTAGTTTGAACTAAAGATGTTTTATCATATCCATCACAACTTATAAGCTCAGTAAGCTTAGAGAGAGAATAAATATGTCTTTCCCTTATGGTACACAAAAAATAGAAGAAATGGAGAGGGCCATTTTAACCTCAATATAAAGAAGATTAGAATGGTCTACCTCTCCATTTCTCCTTACTTTTAGTGTAACCAACATAAAATCTTAATTACTTCGCGTTGGAACCTTGGAGACAGTGACAGAATAAGAAGATTTTTTTGTTTTTTCTCATATCTTTAGCTAGACTGGTAAACTGAGTCCATTTGATATTTTTTGTTTTAGAGAATGGGGTAAAGCTGAGCAAATAAAAGATCTGAAAATATCGTGGTACGTTCCAGGAAAAAAGGAGGTGGAAGCTGTCCAAAAATTGCTGGAGAAATATTTAGTACCGGAGCTGAATAGTTTGGAAAAACATTCTAGCGGAGACATCACTATGACCAGACAAGAGTTGAAACAATCTTTGAAAATTATCATTTCCGTTTTGTCCTGTCAGCCTCTGTTGCCTATGTGGGATGAACCTGTTTACCCGTTGTAAGTATGGTATTAAATTTAATTGAGGAGTATCACAATCGAATTGAAAATCGTATGTGAAAGGACCCCGCACGAAAACACTGGAAATTGGCTCTCGGTCGAATTGGCTGAAATTTTAGTATGTTGTTGTGGGATGGCTCAGTAGAAAAATATGAGAGTTTGAAAAGTTTTGTATGTTTAGTTTCTGAGATATAAGCCGACAAAGTTCGTAAAAACGTCGTATCGGGGTAGGATTGCCAAAGAAAAAAACTGTTTCTTCAGTATAAATAAGACAAAATAAGCTAGAAAATGTACTGTTCGGAACTCAAATACATGTCAAGTTATGATCACATATACTATAGTGAATCAGGGTGAATACGAGGAACGGTCAAAAAATTCATTTTTCGGAAAAAAAAAATCGAGCACTATTCCAAAACCAACAAGTTATATTTTGGTGAGACATTATAGTTTCAGTCTCTTGTAGGCTTCGAAAACGTATTTTCATTCTTGATAACTATCTCTGTTCGAAATATAAATTCTTTGAATTTTGTGTTATACCCCTTTTGGAAAACAATTGACAGTTTGTTTTTGATCACAAAAAAAAAGGATGGATTGATACTGTTGATTGAATGAAAGCTGAGGTAACTCACTAGCTAATTCAGTTGTTCAATATCGCTTTTCATTTAGATACAGGGTGTGTTAGATTTTGTTGAAGATTATTTAAAATGTTTCAATTGAATATCTCGACAGTTCCGTTATAATTTGGATCTCATTTTACTCACACTATTTTGAATATGTTGACTATCATATGCAAAAAGTTTCTCAATTTTTTATGTTTGTTACAGTATTACATGTATTATAGGGTTATTACCTCGGATATTACTATCGATTCAACAGAACTTCACGTTGTTTATAGTAAAAAATTATTGATTTCTAATAGTTTTATAATGTAATTGAATGTTCGAAAGATTCCGTAAAGTTCTGTTGAATCGATAGTAATATCCGAGGTAATAACCCTATAATACCTGTAATACTGTAAACTCAAAAATTGATATCTCAGAAACGAAACATAAAAAATTAATTTTTTTTTTGCATATGATGATTAATATTCAAAATAGTGTGAGTAAAATGAGATCCAAATTAACGGAACTGTTTTCGAGATATTCAATTGAAACATGTTCAATAATCTTCAACAAAATCTAGCACACCCTGTATCTAAATGAAAGGCAATATTGAACAACTGAATTCGCTAGTGAGTTACCTCAGCTTCCATTTAATCAACAGCATCAATCAATCCTTTTCTTTGTGATCAGAAACAAGCTGTAAATTGTTTTCAAAAAGTGGTAGGTATAACACAAAATTCTAAAAATTCATATCTTGAACAGAGATAGTTATCAAGAATCAAAATACGTTTTCGAAGCCTACAATAGACTAAAACTATAATGTCCCACCAGAATATAACTTGTTGGTTTTGGAATAGTGCTCGATTTTCTTTTACGAGAAATGGATTTTTTGACCGTGCCTCGTATAGGTACACCCTGATTTACTATAATTTATGTGATTATAACTAGACATGTTTATGAGTTCCGATCAATACATTTTCTAGCTCATTTTGTCTTATTTATACTAATGAAACAGTTTTTTTCTTTGTCAATCCTACCCCGATTCGACGTTTTTACGAACTTTGTCGGCTTATATCTCAGAAACTAAACATACAAAACTTTTCAAACTCTCATATTTTTCTACTGAGCCATCCCACAACAACATAGTAAAATTTCAGCCAATTCGACCGAGAGCCAATTTCCAGTGTTTTCGTGCAGGGTCCTTCCCAATGAAAATAATATTTCGCAGTTAAAAAAATCCAATACCAATTTGAACTTGTAAACCTCGTTGTAAACCAAGACATTGCCTTGGTTATCGTGTCCGGTACACTCAAAATGAAATTTTTTTTTTGTTCATAGAGCCGATAGTGTTTTGGATCCTTGGAATTTTAACCTAATAGTGAGCGGTAGCGATATTGTCACAATGCCGGATGGTCAAAATGTTCGACAAGTGATTGTCGGCATTCTGCACAAGTTACAAGAACATTTATTGGAAAAAGATGAGGGAGATACGAAAAGCATTCGAAATATCATCAACGTAAGTTTTTCAAATTATGAAAGATATCATGAATAGCAGATTTATGAATACAATTTCTGATAGATTTCCATATAATTTTTAACAGGATATGTTTCACCAACATAGTATTATTTTTTTTCAAATCTGTTATTTATCTAAACATTTTCAACCACCTGTCAACCTCCTGCCCCACAGATCAACCCCTTCAAGAGGTCAAGTGACACCTCTAGCTTATCATGTGATGGGTTTTTTTCGAAAATTTATTTTGGTACGTATTTTTGTCAAACACGAATTCGATAATGGAATAATGTGAACAAACCACTATTTTTCTGTGACGGGAAAAAAGTTTGGCATTTCATCTCTGTTGGCAGGTTATAAAATGTCACTTTTCATAAATTACTTTTTTCCCGTGGGAAAAAAGTGAGTACTTCTTTCCCGGATATATATCACATATATATACTCTGTTAATGGCTTTTGTTGTGCTATAGTTCCGAAATATGAGTCAATAATACCGTCTCTGAGAAAGAACTGCAAGTCCTTTTATCTTCCATTCGACTTCGCGGTTTCGTATATTACTAAACAACTACTGAATTCGCAATTTTTCAAAATCGAATCACAGAATTGAACTGACAGAAGTGACATCAGATATTTGATTACTTCAAAAGAATGATAAAGATGTCTATAAAACGCAGGTGTCCCTACTGTTAAAAACTTGAAATTTCACGTCGATAATTTTCAGATTTCGAAATAATGTAATATCTTCTCAATATTGATTCGTCCTTCCTTCTGTCACAGAAAAAAATAGTGTATTATACACGGGAAAAATATTAGATTTTAGCTCACGGTTTTTTGTCTCCCTCCGCTACGCGTCGGGAGACAACACAACCTGGAGCTAAAATCTACTACTTTTTTCCCTTGTATAATAAATAACTATTTATCGAGATATTTCAAGAAAAAGTTCAAAATTTCGCCTTCTTTTTCCCTCTGTGCTGGATGCATTTACAGCTACTTGCTCTTCTAATTTTGTCATTGGACACTTTATATACTCATGATGTACTTCAATGACAAATTTTATATAGACAATTCAACAGGAAATATGATTTTTATGACGAGTTTTTCATATTTGAATAAAATCATATTTCTAGTTGACTCATGTAATAGAAAAAAAATGTATCATTGAAGTACATTGTGATATATGAATTGTCCAATGGTGAAAAAACAAGAGCAAATTGTTCTAAATGCGATCCAAAGGACAGGCTGAAAAGAAGGTGGGAGAAAATTGGCTTTCGGTGAATTTTCTCGAATTTTGGATATATCGTAGAACTCGTGATGCTGATCAGATGTCCCAATTATCAACGCTCTAAATTCAATAGTTTGTATTATACAGGGTGCTGAAGTTGACTTTTTCAAAATTTCGAATGGCCATTTGTGGAGTTTCCTTTTTGAATATCCAAATCAAATCGACTACGTTTTGTTTGTCCATGTGGCCGGTGAAAATCCACTATAGAGTTCAATGATATCTGCACGTACTCACGATATACAGAGTTGGTCCAAAAATAGCGAATGTTCCAATTATTCTCGAAAAAGTGAGCGGTTGAAATCAATTCATTCTTGGACATTTCGTAGTATACTAATATCAACATCGATTCATGATAATTGCATTTCTTGTATCAGAGTACATTTTATACACAAGATTTTCAAGTTTCCATGAAACCGCAGCCGTCCTGATATTCATATCCATCGAATCCCGTAAAACTTGGTGAGGAAGTTGATAAACCGTGATGACAATATTTTATGCAAATACCTGAATTATACAAGGTGGTTGAGAAAGTAGTAGTGGAGTTTTCTTGGAGTTGACGTACTCCAGAGCAATTGAGAAACAAGACAGAAATCCTGAGTATGTCAACTCCAAGAGAACTCCACTACTACTTTCACAACCACCCTGTATAATTCAGGTATTCGCATGAAATATTGTCATCACGAATTATCAACTTCCTTACCAAGTTTTACGGGATTCCAATCATTCGATGGATATGGATATCAGGACGAGTGCGGTTTCATGGAAACTTGAACATCTTGTGTACAATATCTAGTCTGATTCAAAAAACGCAATCTTCATGAATCGATGTTGATATTAGTATACTACGGAATGTCCAAAAATGAATTGATTTCAACCGCTCACTATTTCGGAAATGATTGGAACATTTGCTATTTTTGGACCAACTCTGTATATCGTGAGTACGTGCAGATATCATTGAACTCTATATCGGATTTTCACCGGCCACATGGAAAAACAAAACGTAGTCGATTTGATTTTGGAATTCAAAAAGGAAACTTCACAATGGCCATTCGAAATTTTGAAAGTCAACTTCAGCACCCTGTATTATACAAACTATTGAATTTAGAGCGTTGATAATTGGGACATCTGATCAGCATCACGAGTTCTAGGATATATCCAAAATTCGAGAAAATTCACCGAAAGCCAATTTCCCCCCTTTGTAACTTTATAGTGAAATATCTTAATCAATAATGGTTTGTTCACATTTTCAGTATATCAAATTCGTGTTTTTCAGACAAAAATACGTAAGTACCAAAAAAAATTTCGAAAAAAAAAATCACATGATAAGTGCAGTTTCACCACCTCTATTTCAAATCTCTTTTCAATAGTCTGTTTTTTTTATTTGAGCCATATCCACAAAAGAGTAGTTCTAAAGATTTGAAATTCACTGGAATTTTCGTCCAAATTATTGTTGGTACGGTCCCATTGTATAACTTGTGCAGTAAATTTACCTACATTCAAAATCAATGTCCCAACAAGAGCGCCGGATTTAAATATGCCGCCATTTTGTTGTACCATTTATTTTTCGACCACCACGCGATTCAAGAATAATATGGAGAAGTATTCAAATGAACAACGTTTACCTAATCATTGTAAAATACATTGAGGCGTTTGATTTCAATATTTGAAACCATCAACGTAAACTTTTTTCTGATGATTAATGGTTAGCGTTTGTTGAAGAGTTACAGAAACTTTCATAAATAATAATTTAATTTTCTCGAAATATCTCAAACGAAGGTTTCTGATATTTCATCCACAAATCTCTGTTGTTTCCTCAAGAGAAATATTGAAGGAATGGTTTTCATCTCCTGAAGATTTTTATCAGGCACAAAAAATAAAACGACGCTGTAATTGTTACAATTTTGAAATTGGATTTGCTGAGACAGATTTCTCATTTTTGAACAAATGTAATGACTTACCAGTATAAAGTGACCAAATTTTGAAGGAGAACAACAATCAAACACAATTCACAGCACAAACTATTTGAACTACACAAAAAACAGTTATACAAGTCCAACATTTTTTCCACAGCAATATCCACCATTTAAAAACAATTGAGAATCGCGGAAGAATAATTTCATAGCACGCGCTTGCGCATCAAGTACCAACATGCCTTTGTTAGTTCATGGGCGTACCTCATTGCGGGAAAAGGGGGTTAGGAATATTGACACATTCAAAGAAATAGGATTTCAATTGCAAATAGAACCATCACGATAATTATCGAATGTACTTATTCTCTGGAAACCATGAGAGAAAATTCCAAAAATTCACTGCCTCCTTGATTAACCTACAGGCAGTATTTATGAGATATTATTCTTTAATTATGTACTTTTTGACCTCACGACAGCAGCTGTTGATATCTTTGTTTATTATCTAGTTGAGTGATTTTTTATACAGGGTGTCCTAACCGAAAGTAGGCAGGCAATATTTTTTCGAAGAATTAGTAAAACATCGACCATATTTTCAAGGGGGTAATAGTATATACTTCAAATAACAAATAATACATCCTTTGATAGATCGGATCTTCTATACAACTAGGATTTTTATTCAAATTCTATCAGCTTCTTTCCAGAATAACCTATTCAGCAGTTTTCTTTAGAATTTTCAGTATGAAGAAGCTCAAGTTTAGAAAGAAAAATTGGTTGATATCATCATAGTGAATTTTCAACTTTTTCCTGATTTACAAGCAGCCATATAAATAACTGCAATTCTGGTGATCATTCGCAGATTTTCAATATCCTGTTGTTCAACAAAACCAGAGGCCAAGATTTCGAATTTCACTGGAAGAGTTTTCACATGACGAAAAAACTTTTGGAAGACCGTTTGCACCAAAAAAAGCTGCATCTGCGCCACGTCCTGATAGACAGGGTGATGCTGCAACAAGAGTTCAGGATAGAGAGCAGAAATTGCTCCTTCACCAATACTCACAGCCAAATACTGCTGGATCTGTTCGAGCTGGCCACATCCAGATACAGTGAGGTAAAACTAAACAAAACTTTTTCAGAGATGAACGTCTGGAAGTGATAAAAATGACTGTTTTTTTTTAGCTAATGTCTTTTGGGAAAAAAATTGGGCGGATAAACAGTGTCTACGTTTTAAGAACCTACCACCTAGGGTTTTCTATCCAGGATCTCGAAAAATATTTCATCACGAAAATTTCGGGATTAAAAAATCAGTTTCCTGAAAATCTTGATTTTGTTTTATAATGAAATTACCATCTGCTTTATTACTTTAAAGCCTTGACTTTAGACACATTGTTTCTAAGGGCATATTTTATTTTTACCAAGCATTAGGCAGATGTTTAAAAATAAATTCAATTTCATGGTGTAACAAAAAATATCTCTTTACAATTTCTGTTTCTATTTCCAAGTTTTATGTTTCATAACCAGATATGATATTTTTATAATTCATAGTTATTTAATTGCAATGAAAAGAAAGATATTATATTTCTTAAATGTAAAGGAGTGATTTTTTATTTGAGTATCTTTGTTTAATTGAAACGTTATTTGCTCATACAGGGTGTCCCACTTGAGATGGATTGCTTTGTAGCTTCCGCAATAAAGATAATTTTGTCGGAAAATGCATTGAATACTGGCCCCCACATTTTGACATTATTTTCAAGGATGGTGGACTTCCGGTTATACCGGAAGTAGACATCAAGCTCCTTATTACAAATGAGACACCTTATTGTATATCATTGAATTTTTATATTCTTCTTGAAGAGCTGATTTCGTCGATCTAACACATTTGGTGTCAATGGTGTCTACCGGAAATGATTACAGAGATATAGGGTGTGCAAAATCGAGATTTTTCAACTAGAGGATTTTTTTTGTGTCGGAACTATTCATCATTCGTCAAAACGGCTTACATGTCCCTATCCTAAGTTTTGATTTACTATTAATTGATATTTAATTGGAATAGATACAGAGCGATCAAAATTCTGAATTCTGAATCTTTCTGACTTTGATTCAATTAACTGTCAGTAGATAGAAAATCAAATGTTGAGATGAAGAATAATGAGGACATGAAAGCTGTGAAATAATCAGTTTCCGTACGAGTAATACACTATACTTTTCCGACGACCTACCTGATTAACAGATATCTCTCATCCGGAGCAGTAATCATAAATTGCTTTGTTTGTTGGGGCTTTGAATGAGTATTTGATTTTTTCGGTTGAAACCCGACTGATCGTCTTTCAAGTACCGTTTTCAATTTCAGGTAATTCCCAATAGTCACATTATGTTTAGCGATTATTGATGTTCTTATCAAAGAATAAATTGACCAGAGAGTATTTGGTTTATACTGATATCCCAATTATCCAATGTAGGCCGATAAAACTACCTGTGAGAAGCTTTCCACATTGTTTTTTCTTTCCATGCAATGAAAATTATTATACGCCAAATCATACTTGTGTTTTGATTTTTTTGGAAGCAATTCTTTTGTCGTTTCGATTGCTAATTCCTGAATTTATGTGGGAGTAGAATCTAACATTTCATTGTCGTATGAAAATTCCATAAGTAGATCGATATTTGACTAATAAATAATAATTATGTAATTGAATGAAATTTGAACTTGGTACTATAACAATGTGTAGAAACTGACACTGTCATCAACTGATTTGTAGATTTGTCAATTCAGTATAAATTAGAGTAGGTGTATTCGCCATTCAATATAGGATTGGTGCTTTAGCGAACATTTTCATTTCGTATATGTCGTATCATGTCGTGCTATTTTGTAATGCGAAATAATACGTATTTCAAATAGGTCGTCGGAAATAGTATACAGTGTGTCCCAAATTCGATCCTCACCATTGGGATCTCAGTAACTATGAGAGATAGAGAAACGGTTAAATTGGCAAAGTTGTAGCAAATTTAATGTATCTATTGAGAAGTGAAATGTCTCAGTTAGTTCAGAATGAAAGAATATCACTAATATCACCAACACCTCCTCACCCACAAATTTCCAGGTGAGGATAGCCGCCCAGAGCAAACTGTTCGCCATCATCACCTACTTCCCCTACTCCTACACGGTCCTCACCGAAAAAATCAAAGCCACGCTGCGCCTCGACTCCCAGCAGCACCACGAGAAGTTCAAGGGCTGCCTCTACATCCTGTTGGGCCCCAAAAACTCCCCCATCGTCACGCGCCACGACTGGCGCTTCATCAGCGAACTCTGGCCCCTTATCGTCACCTCCAAACCCTCCGAGAAGCCCTCAATCGTCAACCTCATCACTTCCGTCACCGATACCATCGACAAGTACTTCCCCACCATCGCTGTTAAGCTGGTGATTCCGCGGGCGGCTCTGGAGGCTGCCCGGAGGTTGGGCGGCAGTCTGCCCGCTTGCGATGTGGGCGGCGCGTTCGAGGCTGTGATTGGGAATGGGGAGGATTATTTGAGGGGGAAGTCGGAGGAGAGGAGGGTGGCGTACGAGAGGACGTTGGAGGCGCTTTTGGATGCCCTCGAAGGCGGGAATTTGTGAGTATTTTGTTTTTGATTATGTTGTGGGAGGGTTGCGAGGTTAGTTTTGATTTTCACAAGCTTTTGCATCCATTATCAACACAACTTAATGGCTTTTACAATGATTTTGTCGAAAATAATAATTGATTTCTTGATGAGAATGCAACTGAGTCATACATCCATTCTACGATTCAACGGTATGTATGTATTTAAATACTAGCAGACCTTGCAAACGTTGTTTTGCTACATGGATTATTTTTTCCGTTCAATATGCATCAAGACACTATTATTATTTCATTTTGTACTACTTTTTAGTTTTGCTATCTATAAAAGCGTGTTTCTTTAGTTTTTCTAACTACCATTTATTTCAACTTCATTTTAGTTCACTTGAATTTCCCAATTTTGACGAAAGAATCCTAATATCCGACTCCTAAAACCCCAGATCGAAATTTTGAATAGATTCGGAGCATAATTACATAACACGTCCGCATTTTTGGATCTACCATCTTGAATTCCCTGATTTTCACGAAGGAATCATAATTTTTGATCCCGAAAACGCTCACTTACAAGTTTTGAATAGAATCGACCCCGAAAACACTCAGATAGCAATTTTGAAGAGAGGCGGATCATAATTACAATACTCGTACGCCATATTGGGTTCGCCATCTTGAATTTCCTAATTTTGACGAAAGAATCATAATCTCCGACCCCGAAAACCCCCAGATATCAATTTTGAATAGAATCGGACCATAATTACAAAACTCGTCCGATATATTAGATCCGCCATCTTGAATTTCCTAATGGTACCTGGATGAAAAGTAGTTTCGGAGAATATTCAATACATACAAACAAACAAACAATCAAATCTTTCCTCTTCATAAAATTAATATAGATTAGAGTCCCTAAATGTACTTGACACTGCTGTTTTGACGTCAAAACAGCAGTGTCAAGTACATTTAGGAACTCTAGTATAGATTAGAGCAGAGGAAGTAAGGAATGCTGAAAGTCATCAATTTTATTGATGGTACACAATCAGGGAAATGTTTTTGTCTTGGAGAAGGCCATCTTCCGCCTTATAAAAATTTTACAATAGAAAATAGTTATTTATGCAACAAGTGCAAAAAGTGAATGTTTATTGCATTCGACGTGAAATTGTCCCACGAGGCCGTTAGGCCGAGTTGGACAACACGTCGAGTGCAATAAACAATTTTTGCACGAGTTGCATACAACATTTTTTCTACGTTCATGCAAAAAGCAAAAAATGATTTATTGAGGTGCGGCACTAGGTACAATTCTGTTAATTGTCAGAATTAATTTTTGACTGACGTTTCTATAACCACAGTTGCATTATAGAAAATGTTTGTCATGATGACAGCACGTTGAAGTAGAATGACAGATGAGTGCAATAAAAACTTTATTGCACTAAGTGCAATAAAGAACTTCTTTTTCCACTAAATATAGTTCAATAAAGTTCTGTTTTTTGCATGAATGTAGAAAAAAGCATTTTTATGAGAGAGAATTACTTGGAGTTGAAAACAAAACTATACCAAAGATCAATATCGGAGCGTTCTTATTCGTAGTATGACCAGACATTTGCAGATGAATGTCATGAACAAAACCAAAGTTTTGTATCAACAGTGAAAACAATAGTTCTTTTGGTAAAACTGCATTTATCATGCGATGGGTTTTTTTTCCAAATTTTTTTTTGGTACTTACGTATTTTTGTCTGAAAAACCCGAATTTGATAATGAAAATGTGAAAGAACCACTATTTATCGAGATATTTCAAGAAAAAGTCGAAATTTCGCCTTCTTCAATGACACATTTTTACATAGAAAATTCAACAGAAAATATGATTTTTATGGTGGGTTTTCCATTTTTAGTGAACAAGCATACCAGAATGAGAGTCATTTAATCAATAGTCAATCCAAATACGAGATGTCAAATGTCAATAGATTGCTTTGGAATGACATTACACACGCTATTATTTCAAATGATATTCTTCCTTCTTTTCACTAAATATGGATAAATCTCAAGAGAATCATATTTCTAGTTGACTCATATAATAGAAAAAATGTGTCGTACATTGTGATAGGGCAAATTGTTCTAAATGCCATACAGAAGATAGGCGGAAAAGAAGGTGAAATTTGTAACTTTATAGGCAAATATCTTGATAAATAATGGTTTGTTCACATTGTCATTATCAAATTCGTGTTTTTCAGACAAAAATAGGTAAGTACCAAAAAAAAATTTCGGAATAAGTATAACCCATCACATGATAAATGCAGTTTTACCCATGTTTTACCCTTCTTTTTCTGATAAATTTATTTTTCTGACGTAAAAAAACTGCCAATCAGATGCAATCGGTAATTTTACGACAAGACATTTACTTGAAATATACCCAATGAAAAAAAGTTCCAGTGTTTTTTGGCAAGATAAATCAATGGCAATATATAAATGTAGTTGCGAAATAGATGCATAAATCATAAAGACTGTCATATTTAAGATGGCTACAAGGGTATTATAAGAAAAAAACTCCTTCATAGGGAAATTCCGCAGATTGTATCAATAAATTTAGATTATGTTTTCAATATTAAAAATTGTCTTATCATTCAGACAGTATAGAGCACAGATATATACGAAATGCATATGAGTCATTAGTTAAAAAGTTTCAAAGTTATGACAAAGTGTATAGACATTCCAACTGAAAATTAATGACTGAACTTTCTAACTAGAAACTTAAAACTTATGACTGTTGCATAGATCCACCATAAAATTATAGTGTTTTAATTTGAACATACCTCGGTATTGAAGCACCATAGTTCTCAGGTGGTTTTATTCACTATTTAACGAACACAAACGTCTTGGCTCTTAAAGAACAACATTTAGAACTTATACAAAGTACTTGATTCGTTCAGTTTCTCGACGAGAAAAATCAATGTTTATTCAAGAAAGAAAATTCCGCCATTTTTACAGTTCAAAAACAAGTGACGATCAAGCGATCACGAATCACGATTTTCAAGGTACACACTTGTGCATCAGTTTCATCATTGTCTGCTAAATATGGAGAAAAAATCTAGTGAGCTGGAACTCAGCTCACTAGATTTGTTCTCCATATTTAAGCAGACAATAAGTTTCATTAAATACCTATCTGAAAGTTCATAGGCGTACCAGACGTATGGTAAAAGGGGTTCAAAACATTGAAAAATTTAGATAGTGATGAATCAAAAACGTTGGTCATTGAATTTCAGGGCTATTTTTACTTTCATAGACGTTTCTTAGAAGATGATAAAGGGGTTATGAATATTTAAACAGTGAATCTGATGTGTAGAGCCCTGAAAAATCCCGAAATTTCATTTCCATTTTTTCTGTAGTTGTATTCATTATTTATGTTGTTTACTTGTTATTTTAACATACAATGATTGAAGTTTTTGAACGTCGCATTTTTTGTAACCATTAATACATTGAAACATAGGCTGTTTTCAGGCACTGGCGATACAACTTCATGGCGATAAACTTCATCAAAGATCTGGTCCACTTCGACATCAAATATAATCCGAGAATTGTCAAGTTCTTCCTGAACGCGGCCATTGACGACTCGTTGATCGTCAGGAAGACGGCCATGAAAGTGTTGGTGTTCATTTTGGTGCAGAACAAAACCAAATTCAAGAAAATCGAGATAGACCCCTACAAATTTTCCAAAGCAGCGAAGAATGGGGCGGTCGTACCAGGAATTCGGGAAGACAACAAATGGTTGCTTTACGACAGTTCCACTGCGCCTAAGACTGCCGAGCAATGGGACGAACCTAGGTAAGAATAAGAAGAAGAAACTGAATTTGATTTAGAAGCTATCAGCTATCAACATTGCTTTCAATTTTTTTAAATTTGAGTGTAGTTTTTCGGCTCCCTAGAGGTGGTTCGGAATCCACTATAAGCTGTAGGTCCCGCTCTTTCTAATCCTGCACAAGTTTCGACTTCTGGGGAATAGGCGAGTGAACTAGATTTTTGTTTTAATTTCTCAAATAGAATCATTAGTCAATTACCTTTCAATTCTCTTCTTTCTCAGATTTTTTCGGTCGATTTTGAGGTGTTAAAATAATCAATATTGCCACGGTAATCTTCAAACGACTAGACATTTACCGCAAATACAAACTGATATCACGATTTCATAAATAGGGACAGACCATAATGCAGTTGCCATAATGTTGAAATACGAATGGGAACTTCCTTGAAATATTATTTATTTCATTATTTATAAATTCTCAATTATTTTTGGTAATATTCTAAGTTGGCTACACAAAATCCATTGTCTTGTAATGTTTCCTCTTTTATGTTGTGTCTTATTATTGTTCAAGATGAATTTGTGTTAATAATAATTATATTAATTCACACTAGAGGAAATTTCGTCGGGTTAACGTGACAACACAGGATTGTGGGCGTTGTCTTGTCAGTTCTTAGCGTTCAGCACAGCATTGCCAAGTCTCTACCCTAGCCAACATTCACATGATGTTTTGTTATGGAGTATAAGAAGTAGTTTAATAAGCTGGTTGCTCGAAAAGGGCACAAATATGATTGCAAAAATTAATTCAGATCCCTAATAACGATACAGTGAAGTAACCAGAGTCCACTCACCCATTGGTTCCCAACTTCAAAGTTGCAATATACAAATTTTACAAAAACTAAAATTTCTGGAATTGTGTTAATGAACATTATTGTAAATTTTTCCTCTAATGAAAATTGTACATTCATATATATACCGTGTGACAAGAAAATCATTGGGCAGGTCTTCATTCAATTGTTCTTTCTGTTGGACTTTTGACATTTGTATCAAAGAAATAGTTTCTTGAATCCCGTCTTTGATCCCGTCGAGAATTTTGAATGAAATCCTGTGAATATTTTCACGGCATTTGTTAGATCGAATCGAAAATCCCTTCTTAATGACATATCGACAAGTGGATATTTCTCTTCAAAATGGCAGCGCAGGAGACATTTTTCGTGAAATCAATGTGGCATCAATGTGATGTCATTGATCGAATTTTCGTCAAGCAACCTGAAAATAGCAAATACACGAAGCACATGGATTAGTTTTTGATGAAACATACGAAAAATTTGATGTATCGCTTATCAAGGTTCCTTTTTAGTAATTCTTCGAAAAGACCTTGGATTATTTTCTCCAAAGTTTCAAATAGAAATAGTACCCTTTTGAAATTGGCATTGAAGTATATTTAAGTCAGTATAAGTACCTCAAAAAATCAAATTTTCGAATCATCCAATTCTTCACTTCGATTTTTCTATAGAAAAAAGGTTGAGATAGGAGAAAAGGAATGGCTGTATAAACATTGACTCACATAACTCGGGAGAGCAGCAATTTGGAAAAAATGATTGAAAATACCTCTAAAAATCAAATTCTTAACCAATCAATCCTTCAACTTGATTTTTCCATAGAAAAATGGGTTGAGATGAGAGAAAAAGAATCGAGAGAGGAGCAATTTGAAAAAAATAATGCGAATTAAAGAGAGAGATATACGTCAAAATTCACAGATTTACTTTTAATCCTCTCAACAGAAACAATTGGCTAGTCTATTCCGTACAACAACAGAAATAAATCAATGAATTTTCATAATTGTGTCAGGAGTTGCACATTTTGAATAGTAGCAGCATATCTAATGATCGTTAATTCCTCCAAGGTTCATCCATGATCAATATACAGGGTATTACGCTTGGCCCAAACAGTTGCTAGTGTACGATTCTTCGTCCAAGCAACAAAGTGCGGCAAGACGGATGGACAATTTGACGGAAATCGAGCAGGCCATTTATGGCTTCTTCAGCGACGAAGGCAAAGTAGCGAAGCTGATTAAATATCTGTCATTGGAAGAGAAAAAGGGAGTCGATCATTTCAACGCCTACAGATTCATCACTTTCAAGGTAAAAATAGTTATCTGTTATAAAAGGGGGAAAATATTAGGTCTTAGCTCGAGGTTGTGTTGTCTTCTGACTCGTGACTGAGGCATACATAAAACCGAGAGCTAAAATGTAATATTTTCCCGTGTATAATACACTATTTTTTCTGTGACAGGAAAAACCATGATTCAATATTGAGAAGATATTACATATAGTATATGTTTCCATGGAAACCTTTTGAAGGAATCGAATATGTATCAATTTAATTCTGTGTTTTGATTAAAAAAAAATGCAAACTCAGTGGTTGTTTAGTAATTTACGTAACCGCGAAGTTCAATGGAAGATAAAAGGACTTACAGTTCGTCGGAGACTATGTTATTGGCTCATTTTTGGCACAACAAAAGCCATCCAGTGTTGTTCCTGGATCTTCATTTTCCATACAACATTTTGTTGCCAAAAGGTAACAGATTTGAATCAGAAGGTAATAGACTGGGGAAGCCTGACATTTGACATGTCATTCTTGTCAAACCTCATCGCACGATTTAGACATTTTTGCACCAGTTTTGACAAGAATGAGCCAAAAATCACAGAAAATATGACATAAATATCGAGCATAGGCTCATAGAGTACCTACAATTATAGAGTGACGACAATGGACCTCCAAATGGCTGCCGTTTTCGCAATGTCATTCGTGGTCAAATCATTGAATAGGTAAATCTGAAGGGTATCTGATATGCAGTAATGAATTTCCGCCTTCGAAGTGCTCACATGATGTTTGCTTTAGATATTTGATATTTTCATAACATCATCTGAATAATCTGAGACTGACGTGTCCCAAAAGACGGATTCTAATAGTTAATATCCAAGGTACTGACGCATAGAGTTTCATGTCTGATTAGTGGATTTTTTGTGTCCAAAGAGCGAGAAACAGAGACAAAGCGCTCTGCCGTATGACCAATCACAAAGTATAAAGTACTCACTTCTTTCCTGTAAGGAAAAAAGTATTTTATAATAAGTGACATTTCGTAAATGTTTGTAACCTGTCACAGAAAAAACATATTTAAATGGACTTCTTTTTATATCTTATCCTGATTTTCTGTTTTAGAATATTTTCAAGATTTTCGAGGATAAGCTACTTCCAGTTTTTGTCCCCCATCTTGAAAGACTGGTTCAAGAGAAAGTGGAATCCAGCCAACGTTGTGCTGCGGAAATAATTAGTGGTATCATAAGAGGCTCAAAGCATTGGGAATTTGACAAGGTTGGTCTCATATATTTTGGAATCCATTTATTCATTCATCGAAATTATTGTTTATTGAGAAAGTAGCTCATTCCAGTCAGAAATAAAATTCTGGCATGAAGGAGTTGATTACAAACAATAATAATAATGTCTGCAAATTTTGATATTGATGTTATTGAATTCAGCTAGAGAAGTGTGGGTCGTTTTGTTGTGGGGATATCAAATGAGAGGCGATACAATACTTTCAGAGATTCAGAAATGTTCATGGAGTTTTTTATGTTTTCTAAGGTTGAAAAACTTTGGGCTATCGTCTTACCATTGCTGGAAACAGCGATCGTCAATGTTTCCAGTGAGACGCAAACTGATTGGGCCCTTTGCATCACAATGGCGCTGGATTCACGTGACCCCAACAGGTGTCACTGGCTGCTGGAGTATTTATTGCAGGTTAGTATAATAAAAAAATCATCACATACATCAATCCAGATTGACTCACTATCGCCTTCCATAATAAATATAGAATTTTGAAGAAATATTCGAAATGATTAGAATAATGTAACTGAAATATATACGAAAATCATTTACAAATTCTGTTACCTGGTGTCTCCGTTGAGTAATAAAGGTGACTTAGAAGAAAGGGAAATGATGGTCCCACCACCACCCCTACAATGTAAGCTACTGAACGGAGTTTCTCTCAATGACACTAATACACTCGAATCATGAACTTGATTCATCAAACAAAGTATCTGCCTTCCAGCCTTCCTTTGGAAAACAGCATTTTGAAAAATCATTCCACCTCCCTCTTCTTTTTTTCTTCTCTTTTACTTCTCAATACAGTAATGGGAAATTAATCATACCCGTCGCTAGTTCCTGGTCTTTCATTGGACTTGATTCATAGCACGTCTCTTCTTGGATCTAAAACATAGTTGGAACTAAACCTCGAATTTAAAATACATAGAAAATTCAAATCATGAAAGTCTCATGGAATAAGAAACAGAATAATATATGATACCAAGGGTTGATAATCTCCCCTCGTAAGGGTACCTGTCGTGTCTCCATTGAGACATACAGGTGACCATCGAAATATGTTCAATGATATATCGCCTTTCATAACGAATATAAAATTTGGAAGAAATATTCGGAATGAATTGAATATAATCCGTAACAGGAATGAAAAACTTATCACCGGTCGCTGGTTTCTGGTCTGGTTTCCTCTTCTGTGCAATTTTCTCGTCGATTATAACACGTCGCTTCTTCGATCTAAAACATAGTTGGTATTTTATCTCGAATTTAAAATACATAGAAAATTTAAATCATGAAAGTTACATGGAACAAGAAACTGAAAAATATAAGAAAACTCTATTTGGAGTTCCGTTGCTGAAACGCGACATATTCTTTTATTGCTCAAAAAATGAGCGCAACAGATAGCCAACAATTTTCTCCTTAATGAGAAACACTGTATATACCTAACCCATCAGGCACCTACCCCGGTTGCAACGAGGGTTTACCGATGCCAAGGGTTGATACTCTCCCCTCGTAAGGGTACCTGTCGTGTCTCCATTGAGACATACAGGTGACTATCGAAAAATTTTCAATGATATATCGCCTTCCATAACGAATATTAAATTTGGAAGAAATATTCGGAATGAATTGAATATGATTCGCAACAGGAATGAAAAACTTATCACCGGTCGTTGGTTTCTGGCTTGCTTTTCCCTTCTGTGCAATTTTCTCGTCGATTATAACACGTCGCTTCTTCGATCTAAAACATAGTTGGTATTATATCTCGAATAACAAGAATGAAAAACTCATCACCGGTCGCTGGTTTCTGGCCTGGTTTCCTCTGCTGTGCAATTTTTTCGTCGATTAATAATACGTCGCTTCTTCGATCTAAAACATAGTTGGTATTATATCTCGAATAACAGGAATGAGAAACTTATCACTGGTCACTGGTTTCTGGTCTGGTTTCCTCCTCTGTGCAATTTTTCCGTCGATTAATAATACGTCGCTTCCTCAATCTAAAACATAGTTGGTATTATATCTCGAATTTAAAATACATAGAAAATTTGAATCAAGAAAGTTACATGGAACCAGAAAATGAAATATATAAGAAAACTTTTTCTGGAATTCCGTTGCTGAAAGGCGACATATTCATTTATTGCTCAAAAAATGAGCGAAACAGATAGCCAACAATTTTCTCCTTAATGAGAAACACTGTATATACCTAACCCATCAGGCACCTACCCCGGTTGCAACGAGGGTTTACCGATGCCAAGGATTGATACTCTCCCCTCGTAAGGGTACCTGTCGTGTCTCTATTGAGACATACAGGTGACTATCGAGAAATTTTCAATGATATATCGCCTTCCATAACGAATATTAAATTTGGAAGAAATATTCGGAATGAATTGAATATGATTCGTAACAGGAATGAAAAACTTATCACTGATCGCTGGTTTCTGGTCTGGTTTCCCCTTCTGTGCAATTTTCTCGTCGATTATAACACGTCGCTTCGATCTAAAACATAGTGGGTATTATATCTCGAATAACAAGAATGCAAAAATTATCACCGGTCGCTGGTTTCTGGCCTGGTTTTCCATTCTGTGCAATTTTCTCGTCGATTAATAATACGTCGCTTCTTCGATCTAAAACATAGTTGGTATTTTATCTCGAATTTAAAATACATAGAAAATTTAAATCATGAAAGTTACATGGAACAAGAAACTGAAATATATAAGAAAACTTTTTTTGGAATTCCGTTGCTGAAACGCGACATATTCTTTTATTGCTCAAAAAATGAGCGAAACAGATAGCCAACAATTTTCTCCTTAATGAGAAACACTGTATATACCTAACCCATCAGGCACCTACCCCGGTTGCAACGAGGGTTTACCGATGCCAAGGGTTGATACTCTCCCCTCGTAAGGGTACCTGTCGTGTCTCCATTGAGACATACAGGTGACTATCGAAAAATTTTCAATGATATATCGCCTTCCATAACGAATATTAAATTTGGAAGAAATATTCGGAATGAATTGAATATGATTCGTAACAGGAATGAAAAACTTATCACTGATCGCTGGTTTCTGGTCTGGTTTCCCCTTCTGTGCAATTTTCTCGTCGATTATAACACGTCGCTTCGATCTAAAACATAGTGGGTATTATATCTCGAATAACAAGAATGCAAAAATTATCACCGGTCGCTGGTTTCTGGCCTGGTTTTCCATTCTGTGCAATTTTCTCGTCGATTAATAATACGTCGCTTCTTCGATCTAAAACATAGTTGGTATTATATCTCGAATTTAAAATACATTGAAAATTTAAATCATGAAAGTTACATGGAACAAGAAACTGAAATATATAAGAAAACTTTTTTTGGAATTCCGTTGCTGAAACGCGACATATTCTTTTATTGCTCAAAAAATGAGCGAAACAGATAGCCAACAATTTTCTCCTTAATGAGAAACACTGTATATACCTAACCCATCAGGCACCTACCCCGGTTGCAACGAGGGTTTACCGATGCCAAGGATTGATACTCTCCCCTCGTAAGGGTACCTGTCGTGTCTCTATTGAGACATACAGGTGACTATCGAAAAATTGTCAATGATATATCGCCTTCCATAACGAATATTAAATTTGGAAGAAATATTCGGAATGAATTGAATATGATTCGCAACAGGAATGAAAAACTTATCACTGATCGCTGGTTTCTGGTCTGGTTTCCCCTTCTGTGCAATTTCCTCGTCGATTAATAACACGTCGCTTCTTCGATCTAAAACATAGTTGGTATTATATCTCGAATAACAGGAATGAGAAACTTATCACTGGTCACTGGTTTCTGGTCTGGTTTCCTCTTCTGTGCAATTTTTCCGTCGATTATTAATACGTCGCTTCTTCAATCTAAAACATAGTTGGTATTATATCTCGAATTTAAAATACATAGAAAATTTAAATCATGAAAGTTACATGGAACAAGAAACTGAAATATATAAGAAAACTGTTTTTGGAATTCCGTTGCTGAAACGCGACATATTCATTTATTGCTCAAAAAATGAGCGAAACAATAGCCAACAATTTTCTCCTTAATGAGAAACACTGTATATACCTAACCCATCAGGCACCTACCCCGGTTGCAACGAGGGTTTACCGATGCCAAGGGTTGATACTCTCCCCTCGTAAGGGTACCTGTCGTGTCTCCATTGAGACATACAGGAGACAATCGAAAAATGTTCAATGATATATCGCCTTCCATAACAAATATTAAATTTGGAAGAAATATTCGGAATGAATTGAATATGATTCGTAACAGGAATGAAAAACTTATCACTGATCGCTGGTTTCTGGTCTGGTTTCCCCTTCTGTGCAATTTTCTCGTCGATTATAACACGTCGCTTCTTCGATCTAAAACATAGTTGCTTTTTTTCTCGAATTTAAAATACATAGAAAATGTAAATCATGAAAGTTACATGGAACAAGAAACTGAAATATATAAAAGAAAACTTTTTTTGGAATTCCGTTGCTGAAAAATGAAAGTTACGTAAACAACTTTTCTCAATAACATTTTGCTGAATTTTCTGAAATAAAGGTACTTTACTCTTGAGCAATTTTTATATTTTTTGACCTACCATGTATGCTGTGTGACTTGCAACCATTCTAAGTGGAGCTAAAATGATTACCGAACATGCACCAACTTTCGGCACTATCTGTATTTTGGTTGTACAATTCATTAAAAAGATTCCCATATGTTGCACACTCAAATGACCACACTGTATAGGGTGAGTCAGATATAGACAAATTTCAAATACAACAGTTATAAGGTTTCATGAGTACTATCACCTAAAATTATTTTCATATCTATAGGGTGTACGAATTCCAAGATATCGGTTGATAATAAGTTTTTTTTAAATGGGACACCCTGTTTTTAATTGCATTTTTGAATGCACTAACAAAATTTCTACGCAACTGTTTTTTGTTTTCTATATTTGACTCCACGGTTGCCAAGTTATTCAGCTATTTCCGTGAAGAACTGATTATGTAGAAGGCTTACAAAAATTTTATTGTGATTCTTATTCAGATGTAGGGCCCAAGATGTGTTCCATTCGTTCCTACAAAATCAGTTTGAAATATTGAACACTGTCAATGTTGAGACGGAAAAACGACGAAAAGTATTTCGAATGGAACACCCTGTACTTTTTTACGTTAACGGTTCCAGATCCAAATTACCCTGAATTCTTATGAAGTATGTCCTATATGTATGTTTTCTGTCTATATTTTTCGAGAACTGACAAAGATAACCTCAATAAAGTATACAGGGTGTTTCCGAAATTGTGGCGATCTATATGAAATGGATAGGAGACAAAAAAACAAATCGAAAACATTTTTGAAGATATTGAACATCAATGTTTACCCTAAATTTTGGTAAATCATCGATCAGAGGTTAATATATCCCAACCCAAGCGTTTGACGTTCAAAACAATTTTTCTTGTGAATTATCGTGTCATTATGTCTCAAAGAACACCCCATTTCATTCATCGCCCCAATATCGGAAACACCCTGTATATCAAAGGAAGGAAGCAATGCTCGAAGTCAGAAATCAGAAGAAAGAGCTCTTCCGATTAGAAACATGAAATACAGGGTGTCCCAAATAAAAAATAAAATGGCGAGCAATTCGTACTCCACGATCTTTTCATCCGTTTTCCGGATTTCAAATAGTAATTCATTTATGAAAAGTGTGCTTTGGACTCAGATTATTTTTGCTGGTGAATTACATTTCTTGTCAGCGAATGAATTTTGGTGCGAGTTTATAGTTAATACTTTTTCGATTGAAACGCCCTGCATATATCTACCGGAATAGAAATACATTAGCTGCTAATAGAGCCTATCATAATCATTCTACCCGAAATGCCCACTTGTTATTACCAAGTCAACATCGCACAGCTCTTTACCAAAGAAGTTTTGAGTTTCAGGGCTGCAAACTTTTCAATAAACTACCCGATAACATAAGAAATTCTGGAAATTTACATATCTTTAAATCAAAACTGAAACAACTTCTTCTGTCAAAGAACTGCTACAGTATAGATGAATTTTATCTGTAATCCTGTACCATATGTTTATATAGAAGGGAATTACTTACATATATATCATTGTAGAGGAGTTTCTCTCGTGATTTGCCATTTGTACTTTTATTTATACATATTTGTTGATTTTATTTATGACGTGTATGTGTTGTTTCTATACCTATATCCAGTTTCATTTATTCATATTTGTCATTTTATCTATATATCTTTTATTTTATATGTTATATGTATAACAATGTTTCGTACTTTTTGACGTTTTACTCTTTTTTATTTGTATTACCACGCTGTTGGTGTGCGAAGTAATTTGAGAAAATAAAGAAATTATTATTATTATTATTATTATTATGTCCTAATAGTTACGATACACCCTGTATATGGTTATTAGTACCGAAGTATACATTCCTGTTGATATTTTGAACTGCGATACGATGTGTTGTCATACTGACAATTATGGTCTTTGATTAATAGGTAAGATTCCATTAAATTTCATGTGTTGAAAAATGGTATAACAAATTTTGAATAGTTTCTAGTCTACAAAATCTCATTTCAATACCTAAATTTGAGTACCTCTGTGTAAGTTAACAAAGCGAATTATTCTATCCTAAATGAATATGAAATTTTAAAATATTTCTGAAAGGGAAATAAAGCGAATTTCGAAATGTTTCCATCTTTATTTGGAAATGTACCGAAGCAAAATACCAACCACGTGATGAATGCCTCCATATACAGTGTGTTTCCAAAAAACCTGACCCCCTTACTAGGGTAGGTAGAACACTGCAAAATAAGTTGGGTTTACTCAGTAAAAAAATTTCGTAACGGCATCCGTTATCAAGATACAAGGTGTTGAAAAAATGTTTTTTTTACACATTTTTCAAGATTATGTCGAAACTACTGGCAACATTGTGATGAAATTTTGTATGGATGTTTCTTGGAATCTGACACATGGCATGCATTTGTTTTTATATCTGACTCTCATAGAGGGCGCTAGTTACACGGTTCGTACCGAGTAGTTTTGAACATAACTTTTTTGAGGTTAGATGTTTCAATCCAAATTTGATGTGAACTAGAACATCATTCAATTTCACACCAAAAAGGTACTCTTGGTAAAACTCGATACTGTGTTCCGTTTTCGGAATATTTCGATTTGAAAATGATGAAGTGATAACTGTTGCTGGTATAAAGCTATGTATTAGAGCGAGTATTATGAAAATTTATCACCTATTTATTGAAAACCGAAAACAACAATACATTTCTAATGCTAAACTTATTGATTTAACAATGAATCACAAGAATAACATCGAAACAGATTTGACTAAGAACATGGATTACACAGTTTTGTAATATCTTGAGCAGAAAATCTAAGCTACATAGGTAAATTCACGTCAAGAGTTGTAAGACATAATTTTACATCACTTAAATGACCTAACAGCTGATCCTCAACTGTTTAGAAAAGAAATTAGAATCGTGTATTCGTCGAAACGTAGGACATTTTGAACACACACTCTAACTGATTCAATATTTCATGTTTCTAGTCAAATATCTCTTAATTCTCTACTTATGATTCTTTGTTCCATCAATAACTTCAGCACAAGAATAATTTTATTGTTTTTGAACCTGAATAAATAGGTAATTGAACTCAATAAAATTCATTTTATACCAGCATCATTACTATACTCCATTATTTTCAAATCGAAATATTCCGAAAACGGAACATAGTATCGAGTTTCGCCAAGAGTTCCTTTTTGATGTAAAATTGAATGAGATTCAAGTTCATATCTTATTTGGATTGAACAATCTAACCTCGAAAAAGTTATGTTCTATACTACTCGGTACGAACCCTGTAACTAGCGCCCTCAATGAGAGTCAAATATAAAAACAAATTCATGCGATGTGACAGATTTCAAGAAACATCCGATGTTGCCAGTAGTTTCGACATAATCGTGAAAAATGTGTAAAAAAATCATTTTTTCAACACCTTGTATCATGAAAACGGATGCCGTTACGACATTTTTTCACTGAGCAAACCCAGTGTTCTACCTACAGCAAGGGGGTCAGGTTTTTTTGAAATATCCTGTATATTATACAAAAACACTTACCATTTTGGAAAAATACAACTTTCACACACTCCACAGAAAATACTATCACTAAACCAATTATGAATTCCAATTTTCCACTTTTAAATACGAGTTCTTTTTTATTATCACGTGAATAGACCGTACCCGATGAAGTCTAGAACGAGACTGCTGATTGGTTTGATTTATCATTCAAATGACTAATTAGTTACATCATCCTTTCAACCGATTAATTCCCGAACATGTATGACTAATTCCGATATCGATAGTATAGTTATAAGGGGTGGAGTGAAAAGTAGATATTTTCTTATCTATACGAGGTGTTTTTGAAATGAGTTCATATGCAAATCAATATAATATAGGCTAACGAATATTTCCATGATATCTGATTTTTGCTAATTCTCCTAATTAACGATAAATTTTATCTTGGAAATTGAATAAAAATCGGGGAAAACAAGGCAATTTAGATGATTGAAATCCGCTTGAATGTGCCTTTCCCACGAAAAGGACCCCGCAGGAAAACACGGGCTCTCGTTCGAATTGGCTGAAATTTCACTATCTTGTTGTGGGATGGCTCATTAGAAAAATATGTGAGTTTGAAAAGTTTTGTATGTTTCGTTTCTGATATATAAGCCGACAAAGTTCGTAAAAACGTCGTATCGGGGTAGGATTGACAAAGAAAAAAACTGTTTTTCACTATAAATAAGACAGAATAAGCTAAAAAATGTATTGATCGGAATCACATGAATTATAGTAAATCAGGGTGTATACGAGGCACGGTCAAAAAATTCATTTCTCGGGAAAAAAATTCGAGCACTATTCCAAAACCAACAAGTTGTATTTGATGGGACATTTTAGTTTCAGTCTATTGTAGGGTTCGAAAACGTATTTTGATCCTTGATAAGTATCTCTGTTCGGAATATGAATTTTCAGAATTTTGTGTTATACCCCTTTTTGAAAACAATTGACAGCTTGTTTTTGATCACAAAGAAAGGGATTGAATTGATACTGTTGATTGAATAAAAGCTGAGGTAACTCACTAGCGAATTGAGTTGTTCAATATTGCTTCTCACTTAGATACAGGGTGTGTTAGATTTTGTTGAAGATTATTTAAAATGTTTCAATTGAATATCTCGAAAACAGTTCCGTTAATTTGGATCTCATTTTACTCACACTATTTTGAATATGTTGACTATCATGTGCAGAAAGTTTTTCAATTTTTTATGTTTCGTTTCTGAGATATCAATTTTTGAGTTTACAGTATTACAGGTATTATATAGGTTTATTACCTCGGATATTACTATCGATTCAACAGAACTGAACAGAACAATATGGAACTGTATACTCTGAATTATTAACTGAATACATTTTCGAACGTTGCAGGACCCCCTCAGAGATCCCACCAGCTTCATAGCGTGCACCCGCCTCCATCTGCTCTCCGTGTCTCTCAACCAACAGTCGTGGCGCAACTGCGCGCTCGACCGCCGTCTGCTCGACTACCTGCGTCCCCACCTCTCCCATCCCTTCCAGAACATCCGCGAACGAATCAGCGCCTGTCTGGCGATCGGCCTGGGCGGGACCGGGGTCGAGGAGGAGGGGGGAGAGGAGGGGAGGCAAGCGAGGGTGTTCTTCGCGGAGGTGGGGGGGCGGCTCGACAGGTTGTACGAGGTGTGCGTGGCGAAGGAGGCGGAGGAGGTGAACGAGGAGAAGGAAGAGCTCATCAGGCTTTTCAAAATAGGTATTTTTATTTGTTTATTTATTTCATTTTGGAAATACTATATTTGTATGGTCTCTTGGAAACGTGTAGAGGAAAATTTTAACAAAATAGAATTCTAACAGCTAGTGCTATATTTATACAGGAGTGTTTGTTATTCTTCTTCAAAAATAAACATTTTTTCAATGATTGTCTTTCACAACATACATATGGTACAAGATCAGTAATTTACAACTATCCAATACACAGACTAACACTCACAGAAAAAAGTACAAAATACTGTTGTTCAAGATTTTTTATGTAGTTGCCACGTGAGGTTCAAGAAATAAAAACACTAGATATTTTTTTTATCGCTTGGAGCGCACGAAAAGGAATCCCTATAATGTTCAAAGAACAACGTGCGTTTCTAGGGAGGATAGGGATAGGAGGTAAATTATTAATGAAAATAGAGCCTTATACTGTAGATGCATTTATATCAGCACAACTAAAATAGTATAATGGCATGTTAATCTATCCGCATTCCAATCATTTTATAGTATCTATGTTATTTAATTGTTGTACATGTAAAATACATGATTTTGTATAATGTAAATATTCGGTACACGTCCTGTTGAATGTACCATTTTTTTGACGTTTTTTCATTCAATGTTTTGTGTTGAATTTCATTTATTGCATAACGTTCCTTGAAATAAAGATTATTATTATTATTATTATTAAAATTCGTGTTTTCGAAAAAAAATTCCGGAAATAATTGAAGCTCTCGTGATATTATAAGTGAAAATTATTTGACGTTTATAGGTTAAATGACATTTACATTCAACTTCAGATTATTTCGAGTTCATTCTATAAGTCAATAAATAAAAATCATCCATCAACAGTTTACCATATATTATGAAGTAGGTATACTTGCAATATAATATTTCAGTGTGAAATTTTCTTACCGAATAACACTTTAGCTTCACTTAATATCCGTGATTTGTTTCTGGAACACGAATATATTTAGAAAATTCGTGTTCTCGAAAAAATTTCCGGAAATAATCGAATAATCTCTTCATCCACAGTTGTCAAATTTACGACAACAACCATGGTCCGAGTAAACTACTCCGCTCGCCCCGAATTCCTCTCTCTCATCCCGCTGTGCGCGCTGTTGCAAAGCAACGAGACAGACGAGGAGCTGGCAACGATGGCGACCAACCTGTTGGTCGTGCTGTCAGAGACTGTGACGCTGCCCCGACACATGCCCGACGCCATCGCGGTGGTTAAAAAAGTGGCCGGTTGCCCCTCATGGTCCGCCCGGGCGGTCATAGCGGAGTTCCTGCCCGTCTACGTGTTCTACAATATGGCGACGATCAACGCGAGAAAGGACTGGGTGCTAGAGGTGAGTGTGACCGCTAGGATTTATGTATAGCGTATTCGACTGGCTGCACTATTGCGCATTCAATTCCAACTTTTGTCGTGCGTGTGTGTTATCATCTGGTATGCACTCAGACAGTAATATTATTTCTATTCGGTTGAACAGGCACCACTCAACGGTAGAGCTGAATTTATGTTCGACTGGTAAAAGCGCTCGTTGTTAATTCGAATGTTTTCACACATTTAATTTTGACGGTGTCAAAGGTCAAAGTCACGGACTGAAAAATGCTGAAAGATATGGGGTGTTCATTTACATTGCTATGTTCACATTTCGAAATGAATGTAATGAAAGTATAAGCAATTGATTCCCTATTGTCCAGCATTAGTGATAGTAGCTTTTAGTCGATAGCAATAGTGATATTTCTGAATTCATAAAATCGAAGTAGGATGAAACAGGAAAGTAGAAAATTAATGATACCCAGAAATTGGAATATGGTATTTGTAGTAAATGACAAAATTGCAGCACCCAAACATACCCTGAAACTGTTGGATTCTGTCCAAAAATGGGCAATTCGTCTCGTGGGTGATGCCTCGCTCACACACTCACTCACTTCTCTGGGACACCGTAGAAAAGTGGGCGATCTAGCTCTATTTTATAGATATTTTCATGGACGATGCTCTTCTGAAATATCAACAATTGTACCTCCCTTGGCAGTCCCCGCGAGATTAACCCGTCGAGTTGAGGCTTCGCACCCCTTCGTGGTCACTTTGGAGACCTGCAGAACATCTCTTTCCAAAGACTCGTTCATACAACGCACAGCGAGGCTCTGGAACACATTGCCAAGGTAGGTGATTCCCGAGGCATATAGCCTCCAGAAATTCAAGAAGAACACCAATTCCTACCTTATTTTCCTTGGTTCTCACGATGTTCTCTGAACATTACAGGATATCCCTTTTAGTGGGAAACAGAGCATAAAAAAATATACACCATCTAAACTTCTGATTATTCACAAATTATCACTATACTTATCATGCCGCAATTCTCTCCATTCTTCCAAATTTAAGAAATAATTTGACAATTTGTCAATTTTGAGTTGAGATATATGATATTAGATCTAGCTTGATCCAGCCTTAGGATCCAACAGCACGTTGTCCTAAACATACCAGTCGAATATTCATAATGACAATATTGAACTTCATTCATATAGTGCCAGAATAATTCGAATCATCGACATGCATCTACTCTAGGTTGGTTCGAACGAAACGAATTCTGTCCGAATTAAATGCAGTGCTAAATACGCATCCATACCGTGTCAGTGCAATTCAGTCGAATGACCCCGACCGAGTAGTCCATTTTTCATATTTTCCAGGTTGAACTTCTAAATAATTTATTATTAAAAGTTCTTCCCATATGACGCCGACTTTATGAATGACACTGTATATCAATCAGAACTTGTATACCATGTCTAAACCTCATATCAAATAACAATAGATAGACAGCGTGATTCATTCATAAATAATTAAAAAGTATACGACAACAATCCTGAACGCCACACACAGATAAATGAATAATGTAATCGCGAATGGTGGTGATATCTCTGTCGAATCATTGACAGAGAATGGGAAAGTTTCCTATATAGAGTGAAATGAACCCACTTTTACACGTGTTCTGCGTACCCAAAATACCATGCATTTGCCATTTTATTTTCACTCATCACAGCAGCATTAGCAGCATCAACCTCTAGCGGAAAAAATAGATTCAACGAGAAATCATAGTAGGCGGTCGAGTGATTTTTCATACGCGAAAATCCAATGAAACGCTCTGTAACTCATTTTATCGAGGTGATTTGGGTCAAATCTTCATATTTTGAGCTCAGGATTTCATAGCCTGAATATCTCAAATTAATAATGGAACTCACCTTGGTAGTGAAGAAAACTATCATTATCTCGGGTCATGGTCTTGGTCTCTGGATATGTGATAATATTATTTACCACCATGGTGTATGAACAACTATCATCTTTTTTTAGATACAATCTGTGGTATTGCAACTGTTGGAAGACTCCCAGCATGAAGTAAGAGTACAAGCAGCCAAAGTTTTAAGTGGTCTGCTACACTGCCAATTTATTCCAGATAGAAATCAACTATTGGTAAGGGTTTATTGTTATTATTGAATTTGTGATGTGTGGGCTAATTTTTTTTTAATTCTTACATAGAATCATCACTTAAATATCTTTCAGTTTCATATTTTTTTAAAATGTTTTGGTCGATTTTTAGGTGCTAAAATTATCAATAATTAGAAATTTTCCGTCCGTAAGAACTGACGCCACGATTTCGAAGTAGGCGGGCAGATAAATTCTCAATTGAGTATTGGTAATACTCCTAATCAGCAATGAAACTTCAATTGTCTCAAAATGTTCCCATATGATTGTGGCTTATTGCTTTTAATAAATTCGTGTACATAATAATTATATTGATTCACACTAGAGGGCATTTGAATCGGCGGTGACAACGGCGCACGACTTGTAGGCGTGGTCTTGTCAGTTCTCAGCATTCAGCACAATGTTGCCAAGTCTCCAACATTCACATGATATGTTGTTATGGAGAATAAGAAATATATTTTGATCGAAAAAGTCAAGAATGAACTATAACATCATGGCTTCCTCCTATCATGTTTTATTCAACGACAGGACTGACATCTTTTTGATAACTTGATTATAATTTGTGACTTGACAACCTTGCTTCATGAGTGGAAATGGAAGATTATCTGACCAATAACGAAACAGCATAAAAACTGACATTACCATTTATTCGACGTATCGCCAAATGGCGGCCATGAAGGTTCGTTTGAAATGAGCTCTAAAATTCAACAATTTGGAACAACGCATACCATTATTTACATAAGAAAAGCGTAAGGAGTGTTGCAAAAATTAATTTAGGTTCCTAACGACCCAGTGCAGTAATTGAATGCCAATAATTCATGATCATTCTACTTCTCTTTTTTGAATACCTACAAAATCTCTCAAAGTTATGTGACCATTTCAAAGGAGGAATTCAAGAAGGCGGCAAGGACGAAATTCAAGAAAAAAGGGCCGGCGTCCAATAGCAATGTGCCAGCGAAGCATGCAGCCGTTCTGGGATTATGTGCCTTCATTCAAGCTCATCCCTACGAAGTACCTGACTATCTGCCCGACATTTTCGAGCAACTGAGACCGCATCTCAGCGATCCGCAACCGATACCTGTGAGTTTATTTTATCTGTAAAAACTTCACAAACGATAAGATTTCTACAAAATTCTCAATCACAGGCATGTTTCTCTAACACAGTAGCTTCATCATGCTTCGAAACTAACCTTGGCTTGCCTAACTTTTATATATCCTACTTTCCCAACCTGGAGAATTAGAATGGGGAAGTTTCCTTCAGATGAATTTTTATAAAATGAGTTTGGAACTCTCCAGTTTCATGTCCACGCTGTACAGAATGGCAACCGTCCAAGTCGTTTTCATTTTCAAATTAAAGCAATTTCTAATTTTCGGCAAACTGTGACGTACATTCTGAATCTAGTCTGAAAATAACTGATGGTGAAGAATATAGCTAGCGAATAGATAACGAATGAAAAAAATAGAAGAAGTAAAACTGGTAAACAAAAACGTACATAACCACAAATGCACTCGGAGTAGGAATGCAGAGGGTAGTTGGCTTCATTCTGACAGGTTATGGTTTTGTTATTTATGCATTGAAATATTTCGAATAGAGCTCGATCCTAAACGAAAATATTGAATCAATGAATCACTATCGGCTACATTCAATGATACTAAAATTCAACTAGGGAAAAAGCCAAATACTCAAAGTGGAATGCATTGGTCACGAAGAGAGAAACTCAAAGTCATTACCACAACTAGTTCATAAAATGAACGACAAAATGGTAGATAACGAGAGAAGAACAACTACTTTCCTGGCTATATGCCACGCAGAACATTGCATTACATCCTCCCGAAACCTATGCGATAGTTCGTATAAACGAATAAAATCGCAAGTGTTTCCTTCCTAAACGCTGAGCTGCGCTTAAGTGGTTCAGGAACGCTGACTACCTGCAGACCGGTTTCGAGCTCTTGGCTCTCATCACAGCCATCAATAAGGTCTGTCGAAACTGAGAGGTATATTGGCTCCTAAATACACCTATTATCCACCACTTGGTATTAAATCACCCGCAATAATTGCATTGTATCGCTATTGAATTCTCCAGTGGCAGAACAGCACAAGGGGTTTGTTTCAACAGAATCTATACGCCAGTCAGGCAACCAGCAACTCCCATTTCACCTGAAATGGGATTTTGTTTTGGAGTGTTCCTTTCCTTGCCAGGTGGCGTTCGGCGTTCGCGTTTTCATTTCGCAGACGTCGAACGCCTCGTATGGTATAAATGCTGAGATGCGTTTACGTTGGGTCAGGTTCGCACCAGATAGCGGTCAAGAAGCTATCTGGGACAGCCCTGTACTGATGAGAGCCAAGAGCTCGAAACCGGTCTGCAGGTAGTCAGCGTTCCTGAACCACTTAAGCGCAGCTCAGCGTTTAGGAAGAAAACACTTGCGATTTTATTCGTTTATACGAACTATCGCATAGGTTTCGGGAGGATGTAATGCAATGTTCTGCGTGGCATATAGCCAGGAAAGTAGTTGTTTTTCTCTCGTTATCTACAATTTTGTCGTTCATTTTATGAACTAGTTGTGGTAATGACTTTGAGTTTCTCTCTTCGTGATACTAAAATTATTCTTCCTAATTTACTGCCATCGGTCAGAAGAGAATGAAGCCGACAACCATGGCTCCTTCCTCTTGTTGTGCCTGTCAGTATTTTGAGTGGTGTGGACGGACTCGAAGTATTAGGCGCTGTTGCAAGATATAATCCGCAACTTTCGTAGAAAATAGATCCGTTTTATTAAGGACCGAATTCATTAGCACAAGACGACTGACAAGTTATGAATAACATATTGTAATATGACGATAGTGAAAATTTATAGATACTATCGCAAAATATCATAATTTATCTTTATTAGTAATCACAACTTCATTCAGCCAATGAAAGATGTATAGGAATTATTCATAATTCTTGACAAAGTAGGATTGAAGAACCGATTATATCCCATATTGCTGTTATGATATAGTTATTATGCATTCAAAGAACAATTTCCGGAAATCGAGACATATTGATGATGTCGGCAACGTCGTACTGGCACAGGGAATCGGATTTCAACTGTGTGAATGTGGATTTTCAGAAAGTAAGTCATAGGAATGGTGGAGGAGCCAAGTTCTTCTTTTATTTATTTTTTTCTGAAGTGAAATTTAATATTACGAAAAAAAGAAAAAATACGTATATAGTAAATTTTTACAAGCTTCACAGTGAGATAAAAATCTCAATAAAGGAAACTTCCCCATTACCTGTGGAAAAGTTCTATAAACCTTCATTTTCGGAAAATAGGCACAATATCTACATTAAAATATGGCTTACCGGATTAACTTGAAAGGGTTTATAAAACCAAATTCAACAGTGGTGAACTATTGAGGTCTAGTTGATCGTTAAGTAACATGTTCGAAGTTTTGAGTTTGTTAATTTCTAATGATTCAAAATGTATTTTACTTCAAAAGGTTTCCATAGCAACAATAAGGATGCCTACAACATCAAATTTCACATCGATTATTTTCTGATTTTATTTTAATGCATTATCTTCCCGATATTGTATCGTCGTTTCTTCTGTCACAGAAAAAAATAGTGTATCATACTCGGGAAGATATTGGATTTTAGCCTAAAATTTAATACTCTTTTCCCTTGTATAATAAATAACTATTTCTCATTGATTTTTTTCAAGGTTCGTTTCCAATTTTGAGATCGACTTACATTTTGTTAATTTTCATATTGAAAAATCAGATATTCAGTTTTATTAGTATGCATTGATGAAAGGTTTGAATGGAGCCATTATTCTTAAATTTTAACCATTTTCACATTGAACCTCTTGTAATAATTTCATTGTATAATGAATACTTATGTAAAATAACTTCCCTATACGAGAATTTGTGTTGGCTGAATGATTAAAAAATTAATGAATAAAAATACAGGGTGGTATTTTCAAATCATAAAATAGTAATTTACGTAACAAGTCTGGAAAATACTGTTTTTTTTTAGTCCTGGAAGTCTGCGAGCCAACATTTTTTCGTCAACCATATGTAGCATAACAATTCAAACACTCTTCCATATTATATTTCTTTGTGGAATACAATTTCTTCTTTATTAATTCTTATTTGTATCAAATACTGGAATTTGAACAGAATACCTATACCTACTAACTGCTACATTAGAAATTTCGTATGGACATTTTTAAACTCAGTATCGCTGCTGCTTTCGATAGTTTATTGCGATAATTGAAACCAAACTTTCAAAAATCCCAATGTCAACTAATTTCATGTCAAATAGCTGTCAGCCGATATTTCGCTGCTAAAACCTTATCTACCAGATTTTGCATGGTGACAGTAACAACAACGATGTGATTGTAGGACTCTGAAGAATTTTCTAGTTTTGTCGATATTTTGAACGTCCTTGAATGGTATGTTTTTTTTTTTCAGGCGACTATCAGAAAAACTTTAGGGGATTTCAAGAGAACGCATCACAATAACTGGGAACAACATAAACTCAAGTTCACAGAAGATGAACTCGAGTTGTTGAGGGATTTAACAGTGCCTCCTAGTTATTATGTTTAGTGATTATAAAATTTTTATTAGATCTAAAAGTTCACTTATAGTATTACTCTTACCACTGTTGTTGAAATGATAGATCGAGATGAAAATATGACGGAAAAGTTCTGGACTTTTTAGGTTGGTTAATACTTTTGACTGTTCAATTGTGATGATTAAGGTAAAGGTTGATGATTGTGATTGTGATGAAAATCCGTTCATAATATATAAAAAAAATCATTCCGAGTGATTATTCCTTTTACACAAAAACAAATGATCACTCTGGTGAGTTTTTTGTGCTGTGTTTTTTTTACCAATCTTTTTCAATTTTCGATTATTATAGGTGAATGCCAGCATAATTTTCATCATGATCTAATTTTAATTAGAGGTTATAGGTTTTTCTATTTCTATTATCGACTAGGGAAAAGTTTATTTTATTTCAATTGTTTTAATAAAGGAATTTTAAACAATATCACTTCATTTACCTCAAAGAATCAACGATTTTCATGGCTTATAGTGACAACTTATCAACACATTAATGGTTTTGTGATACAATTTGAACAATGGTGAAGGAATTGATGAATTTTTCCATCTGAAAAACTTGCAATAATACAATATAAACATTTATTAAATTTTTTTCGAATAAACAGTCACTGCTTCGTGAGGTGGTTTCGTTCGAAAAACGACTTTTCCATCAACTTTATAGTCTGCATAATCTAAAGAATAATGGAGTTGGAATCCCAGTTTTTTCATTGCCAAAGCTGAGAAGTGGTTGGTACATTGGGCTGTCACAAAGCCACAACCTCTCTCTTTTCCCAACTCTCTAAAAAACAATATTTTCACTGTGGAATTATACTCATCTTTTTTGAGAATCATGAGTGACTTTAATGATCTTTCTACAGGTTGTTTTGCTTTTCTTTTATTGAGTTCCGTTACTGGTACGTGTGCATCGTGCCTTCCGTTCAAGGTTCAATCCAATTTTCGCACGAAATAATGCATTTCAGGATATCGGAAAAGTGTGAGTGAAAAAGGACTCAGATCACTACCCCAGAATACACCGAGAGTTATAGAGCTACAATTCAACTATCTCCAAGGCGTTCAATTCATAAAAGATCATCAAAATTGAGCTCAAGATTCAGATTTTCTTCTTAAGGTGGATATGAAATACAGAGAAGTGCACAAAAAAGGCCAGGACTGTAACTTTTGAAATATTCGAGATAGGGTTTTGACAATAGGTGGGCAGCTAGTATACCAAATTGCTCATTAGTTTCACCGGAAACGACCCCAACTTACGATTCTTAAAAGGGACACCCTGTATTGTATTCCATAATCGGTTAGGAATTGTCATAACGAATTCATCGGTACCGGGATTGATGGGGTTATTTCAAACGATTACGCAGATCTAAGTTTACATATGCTCAATGAGTGTGACAGAGAAAGAAGTTTTGATATTGCGAAGTCACACTCATTGAACATATGGAAACTTGAACGCGAATATCTGCGTAATCGTTTGAAATATACCGTATCAAACCCGGTATCGTTCAATTCGTCATGGTAATCCCCATTGTCTGCTAAATATGGAGAAAAAATCTAGTGAGCTGTAACTACTGGTCTGCTCTATAGCTCAGTTGAGTGTATGACCACCAGAGGATGTTACCGTATCGGACGAAATAATCTTCACTTTTTTCTAGAAAATTTTCGAAATTTGTGGTTATGTAAGTTGTCATCAGTGTCCTTGAAAAAGATCTTCCTTTTTCTATTCTCATTGATCTAATATTCCTTTCATTTATAGATATAGTTTTGTATTGTGCTCCCAGTATTATAGTTCATTCTGATTGATAATTTGTTACAAACTCTGTCTCTCAATTGTGCCTACCAGAAGGTGTGAAACCGTGATATTCTTCTGCGACATAAGTGAATACATTCGATATTGAGTGTCACAGGCTCATCACAAGTGAGATAATCACCCAGACAACACAAGTGAATCCATTGGACAACCAATGGATGTCCAGCTATGGATACCCTGGACATCCACTGGATGGACGGCATTGTCCAGTATTTGTCCAATGGACATCCATTGGATAATACATGTCCAACAGTTTGGACATACATTGGAAGTCCATTGGCTTTCCATTAGACATCTGATGGATTTCCATTGGACATCCAATATTTGTCCTTTCCATTGGAAGTCTATTGGATACTCATCAGACATCCAATGGATTCCCAATGAAGATCCATTGTATGTCCATTACATTTGAAATACCATTGTATACACATCAGAACTCTAATGGATGTCTACCAAAAATCCAACTTATGTCCATTCCAATGATAAGTTTATTGGATACTCATCAGGAATACATTGGATTTCCATTGGATATCCAAATTTTGTCCAGCCAGAACGTAGAAATTAAAAAAAAGTTGTCCTTTGAGGGGATTGAACTCCGGACCCCGCTCTCGTGGATCACAACGCTAACCTCTGGACCACTGAGCTGTTATAAATATTATAGCAAGTATTTCGTATTAACGGTATTTCACATCGAGAGAAAATGCAATTTGCTGAAGTTTAGTGCCGCAATAAAGCTTTTACACGGCCCTTATCGAAAGTGTTACAGGGTGATTCATCTTTTTCGAAAGAAACCCGCCGTATAATATTTGCCCATATCGATCTTATTTGCACGACCTGAATGGTTTAAAATTGAAATTGGATGAAAATCAACTTCAAAATAAGTACCTACCTCTATATAGGTACGTAACCTACAAAAATGATGAGACGTATAAAATCTTGAAAAATATTACCGAGTGCGAAGTTGTCCGTGATTAATGTTCATATATATATTATATATTATTGGTAAAAATATTTCAATTGAAATAGAAAAGTCATAAATGACACATATATACTTTGCGAAACGATTTCCATTGGATAAGTATGATGGATATCCATTGGCTGTAAAAATTTCGTTGTCCATTGTACAACTACAAAATGGATGTCCATTGTATGTACAAATCTCTATGTCCATTGTACATATACACAATGGATGTCCATTGGACATCCATGGACATCCGGCTACCTAATGGATTCAAAATGGACATCCAATGGATGTATGTGTGTTATCTGGGCAGAGCCCTGATCAAAAGCTAATAATCCATACTACTCATTCTACCTCTCATTTAATTTAGGTGTTGAACGTTACGAAATAGGAGACTATTGTAGTAAATGTAACAGCCATTTTGAGAAGGAATGATTTATTGAATTTTGAACTACGCGGCAGGCCGAGAGTGCCGAGAGCACCGCTGAGGGAGCTGCTCAACTCTTTTACGATTTTCAAGGTTATGTAGATTTGACAAGAAAATAATTGAAATGAGTGTTTCCTCGAGTTGACCGCATGGCGGCACTACTGTATCGGCTACAGAAACCTGTAGGTGATTTTCCTTGTTTGAGCAGACCAGATACTACAGCTCACTAGATTTTTTCTCCATATTTAGCAGACAATGGTAATCCCAAACATATTATGGAATACAATACAGGGTCCCATTTAGGAATCGTAAGTTGGGGTCGTTTCCGGTGAAACTTGAATTGATAAAAGAAAAATTGTTTCATCAATTACCCACCAATTTTCAAAACCCTATCTCGAATAATTCAAAAGCTACAGTCCTGGGCATTTTTTGTACACTTCTCTGTAAATGAAAAATATCCTACATTGTTTTCTGTATGAGTCTGCTTGCCAAACCTCTCCCCCTGTAGAGTGTATCGACAGTAACGACATTTATTACTAGGGCTTTATCACATTCGGGAAATTGTTTGAAAGAATCAGCCTGCTGGTCGACATAACCTAAAAAAGTGGCAGTCTTGAGGAACATTTCATCGGAGCAATGAAAATTGTCCAGTTTTCCTCTTTCTGTTATACCAGCCAGGCACATAGCTATGATATTTTCATTGTGGAAAGCTACAACAGTTACACCTACGACAAAAATTCGATTAAGAAAATTGAATTATGTACAGGGTGTCTCCGTATATTTTTTGTTGTAGGGTTTCATCTGTACACTATCTTATGGCATTACTTAAATAAGCAAAAGCGAATCGAAAAATAGAAAAAATATTCCAAATCAGTTCACGAGATACAGGGTGGTCGAGTTAAAAAATGAAAATCGACAAATATCCATTTTTGCACTGCTATTTCTTTGACCAAATTACATCCACGAAAAGGTAACACCAAACATCTAACACTAAATACCAAAATATCTCGATCGAAATCGGCTCACCTTAGCGGATTTTCAAAATAGTACCTTTTTGCCTAGAAGTGTTCAAAAATCTACACTGAGAAAAAAGTTATGGCCATTCTAAACCATATAAGAAGTGCATATTCGGGTTGCACATCCCAAAAATTCCCCGGATACCAATTCTTGAAGTATAACGTTCCAAAAAGGTTCATAAATTCTTAAAAATTCGATTTTTATTTTTCAACTTTACCACCCTGTCTCTCACAAACGGAGCAATTTCGGACTGGGGTAAGTTGCTTTAAATCGGCTTATATTATAATATACATACTTATATATAAATATGTGCTGATATTTTGTACAGACCATTCAGGGACATGAGAAAAATATATTTCACAACAGTTAAAAATATCCCTTTGCGATTCGCCTTTGTTTATTTAAAAAGTGCCAAAAGATAATACAACTTTCATATTTGAAGTTTTTCCACCTCGTATAGTTGATGCTGTACGTAGGTAGTGGTCAAAATATAAGGAGACACGCTCTACTTTTACAGAACATTTTTCTGAACCCTGTATTCACTTTGAAATGTTTACAACGAAATAATTATTCATACAATCCTGTAAATTGCTCTCTGTGTACAATTCATTATGAATCAACCTGTTTATGTAATTTACAGAATGAGGAATATAAATTGCTCAACACTATAAACGTAAAATCTAAAATTTTAGATCAATTTCGAATCTATATACATAATTTTGTCTTGGATCCGAATATTTATTTTCAGTAATGAGTGTGAAAATTTCAAAAATTCCAAAACCGTTCCGAGATAGATGGTGCGATGTTTTTTACCTCAGAAAAAAACTAGAAAAATATAAATGTCCATACAAAGGGGAACCATTTGATTTTTTTTTTAAATTGCACAGCTTTGATTATCATCCTGTAGAATCTCATTCTGAAGAGACGCAGTCATAATTTCGAAAGGTTCGATAGTCAATGGAATGAGAAGAAATTGAAAATCGGTTGAGACAGTCGAAAGTTCTGACAAATCAAAATTGAGAGAACAATTTAGATTTTACGTTTCAAGTGTTGATCAGTTTATATCACAGAATTTATGCTTCCTCTATTTATTAATCAATGAATGAAATTCAAAGCTAGCTAACATATTGAAAATAAATGAAACTATAGTGTTTATTTACTAGACAGAAGCTATGGATAGAAAAAAATATTGAGGGTGAATCGAAAATTTTCAAGAAATAAGGAAAAGATGAACATTGATTGCCGTTTCGAACCAAACAAAAAATTCGTATAGTTCTAATACTTCTAATACAGTCTAATTTCGAAATATCATAGTACATGAAAAATCAAAATAAAAGTGAAGGTGATCAGAAATCAAGGTACCTAAATGTAGAATTAGCATTTTTAAATCATACCGTCATCAAAATATTTCATGCAGTAGTCTTCTAAAGCATGATTCACGGGATTTTCTGCTGATACAATCTTCAAAGAGTCACAAGTTGGTTCATCTTTACAGAAAAATTCTCTAAGTAGCCTCAATATTCCACCTTTATCTTCTGGTGTAGCCAGTCTCAAGATATAATTTTGTGATTCGGAAGTCATTTTGCCTGTAAAAAAATATATTTCCGATTTGAAATTCAAATACATAATATCGAAAATATCACTTACCATTATCGCACTTCTCTCATGAATTTGAATAAATATTAAAAGCTAGAGAGTACCAACAACTTTTCACTAGAAGTTGAATCTATCTATCAAAATATATTACTAGTACATTTTATCATATTAATCATATTGCAGTATGACCTTGACGGAGATGGATATATAAATAAAAACGAACTGACCAAAAAAAACTAAAATTATTTATTGATTATTGTACATTGTGTAATCCTTGATAGAGCAATCATTTTTATCGTCCGGTGTGCCATACATAATTAATCTCATATCATGAACGGAGACAGCTAAAATTATTTAGGGATCGTTGCAAAATTCAACGATCAGTTTTCAGTCAATTTTTTTGGTATAAACAGTGACAGCCTTGTGTGGCGGTTCTGGACAAAGTACCACCTCACCATTTACTTTATAATCGGCATAATCCAAAGAATAGATCATCTCAAAACCCAGCTTTTTCACAGCGCACGCCGTAAAATGACTAGAGCAGTCAACAACCAAAAAACCGCAGCCATTTTGCTTCCCCAATTCACTAAAACCAAATAAACTGGTCAAATCATGTATGAAGATGATTTGCGGTTTGTACCAAAATGTCACTGCATTCAAAAACCATTGTATTAGTCCATGAGCCGACTGCAAATTACGTAAAAACATCAAATATATATTAGAAAGATATGAAGTAAGTATACCTAGTTGGTAACAATGAAAAAACATTTGAATGTTCATTCCCAAATTTGACAGATGGTAGAAAAATTTTTCAAAACAACATTACACCATTCCAGCGATATAATATGAAAGTGTTAGTCTATGAAAATTCTGAATTTCCTATTTTGAGAATGACTGAAGAGGAAAACTTAAGTTGCACCCTTTCTGAACTGAGGGAATTTGCCCAAACGGCCTCAAATGATTTCCCAGCGAGCACAAACATCCCTGGGATGTTTTGGGATGTTTTGAAAATGTTGGCATGAAGATGTTATTTTGAGACGTAATATGCACTTCCCAAAGAGGTCTTAGAAGGATATTGAAAGTATTGTTTTTGTTCTTTTGTGCCCTTTCTTTGTTTGCCCCACCACAACGTCTCATGCTTACGTCACAATACGATGAATTCTGATTTGTTTTCGATTTTGTTCTTCTTGTTCGCAATTGGCATTCGCGTTTGCAGCGTGTCACGCTTACATCACGCTGCTAACGAACAGAAAGGAATTTGGTGAAGTTTATTGTGTTAGAAGACTTATTTAGTTTGTATTAATGACCATCAGATGCAAGATGTGTTGTTCGGTGCCTCAGTGTAATCAATATATAAAAATACGAATTCATCAATACACAGCTTCTCCGCAGTTTCAAAATTATGCATTGTGGAGAACATTTCAAAAATTGGGAAACCTATTTCCAATTATATGTCTGTGTGTAGTAAGCACTACTCAGAAACCGATTACAAAAGGTAATTTCATATCAAGAAAATATTTTTATGTTCGATCTACTTTCAATGCATTTTTTCATTCAAGGGAAATGGAATCCTAATGCAAAAGTTCATTTTGACAAAAGGCTTCGACCTCGAACCTCGAAGTTTTTTACAGCGATTTAATGTGCGCAAGACGCGTTGAAAATGTTTTGTTGTGTCCATGAAAAGGCTTTAAAAAGAACTAAGGAGAAGGTAGTTTGGTGACATATCAAGGACATCTCGATAATTGCCGCCTGCGGCGGACATTGGCTGTTCTATAATAGTTCTATTCATGTGTGAACAGAACATCGCAGTGGAGGTTCAATGTCTCGAAATCTCGTACTTTTAACATCTCTGAGATGTTTTTGTGCTCGCTGGGTTGTTGCCCAAGAAACCTCGTCCAGCTTATGAACAAGAATTCCACAATTTCCCAGTATGGTCGTGTCAAACTGGCGACATATACAACCACAAATATGAAAATGTAAACGCTTCTTGTTGAACAATATACCGCAATGGTTACTCCATAAATAGACATAATTGGAAAAATGCCAAGAATCATTGCAAAATATCTTAAATTACCAAATCCAAAAAGTGTTACAGGACATTGTTTTCGACGTTCTAGAATCTAGAGTGTGTCCCATTTAGCAAATAGAGACGGTGAAATCCTCAGCAGTTGCTGAAGGTTACATATTATAAGCTTTTGTGAAGAGAAAAATTGAGGTGGGTAGCTCAAATGTTTTCTTCTCAGATTCTCAGATTTTGACCCACTTCAAACGGACCGATTGATTTGAAATTTGGCAAGTGTAAATAATTCTGGTGGCAATGCATCATGAAATTCCTGTTTGGCGGACGAGTTTTGTAATTATCATGATCCGATTCTATTCAAAATTGGTGTTTGGGGGTTATCGAGGTCGGAGATTATATGATTCTTTCGTCAAAATTTGTAAATTCAAGATGGCGTATCCAATATGGCGTATCCAATATGGCGGACGAGTTTTGTAATTATGTGATCCGATTTTATCCAAAATTGGTATCTGTGGGTTTTCGGGGTCGGAGATTACGATTATTTCGTCAAAGTTGGGAAATTATGATCTGATACTATAAAATTGGTATCTGGGGGTCTTCGGAGTCGGACTGGTCGGAGATTATTATTCTTTCCTCAGAATTTGGAAATTCAATATGGTAGATCCAAAATATGGCAGACGGGTTTTGTAATCATGATCCGATTCTATTGAGAATTTGTATCTAGGGGTTTCTGGGTCGGAGATAATGATTATTTCGTAGAAATTGGGTATAATTACAAGAAATATGAAAAAACTAAAAAACGAGCTTTTGTAGTTGCTGACCTAAAAAATAGAAAAAGAATGTAATAATAGTTTGAAGGCAGGCGAATTTTGTAATAATTATGATTTGATTCTATTCAAACTTGGTATCTGGTGGTTTTCGGGGTCGGAGATTATGATTCTTTCGTCAAAATTGTTAAAATTCAAGATGGCGGATCCAATATGGCAGACGATAGTTTCCTAATTATATGATCTGATTCTATTTGAAATAGCTATCTAGGGGTTTTCGGGGTTGGAGATTATGATTCTTTCCTAAAAATTGGGAAATTCAATATGGTGGATCCAATATGGCAGACGGGTTTTGTAATCATAATATCCGATTCTATTGAAAATTTGTATCTAGGAGTTTATGGGTCGGAGATAATGATTATTCCGTAAAAATTTTGTATAATTACAAAAAATATAAAAAAAACGAGCTTCTGTAGCTCCGACCGAAAAAATAGAAAATAAATAGTAGTTTGAAAAACTAAAGAAACACGCTTTCATTTTTACTTCTTTTATGTTTGGCTATCTATAAAAGCGTGTTTTTTAATTTTTTTTTTCTTTATGTTCTGGTTCCCACGAAAAGGGATATCCTGTAATGTTCGCTGTTCGTTGGATGAACGAGTCTTTGGAAAGAGATGTCTTGCAGGTCTCCAAAGTGACCACGAAGGGGTGCGAAGCCTCAACTCAACGGGTTAATCTCGCGGGGACTGCCAAGGGAGGGACAATTGTTGATATTTCAGAAGAGCATCGTCCATGAAAATATCTAAAAAATAGAGCCAAATCGCCAACTTTTCTACGGTGTTCCAGAGAAGTGAGTGAGTTTGTGAGCGAGGCATCACCCACGAGACGAATTGCCTTTTTTGGACAGAATCCAACAGTTTCAACTACTATTTATTATAAACTTCGAACGCAGTGACATTTTGGGGCACATACACACATATAATAAATAATTACCCTGTTTTTTCAATCAGTTTTTTTGCTACCCCTTTTCCCCGACAACTATCATCAACAGAAACGATCCCGACAGAAACAGCTTTGTCACACCCAGGGTACTTCTGGAAAGGGTCCGATTTTTCTTCCACGTACTCTAGCATCCCGACTATTTTCGAAAACTTCTCGTCCTCGCAATGGAAATGCTCCTTTTTCCCCCTGTGAAGAATGAAATTGAGGCACACAGCTATCAGCTTTCCCTGCCGGAAAGCCATCAAAGAAATGCCGTTATCAAAGTCGGCCATGGCGAATGCTTCCAGGTCGTGGTTGATGGGGTTTTCTTCGGATACTATCTCCAAGAACTTGTTCAAAGGCTCGTCCTTGTAGAAGTAGGTACGAAGGAACTGGGCGATTGCATCTCTGTCTTCGGTTTTTGCTATCCTGATATCGTAATCGAATGAATCTGAGGACATTGTAGAGACTTTGAGTTTTGAAGTTTGTTGACCAAAAGCACTTTCCGTTTTTGAAAATGTTGAATTATCACTATATGAGTTCACTTTATTGCACACTATACACGGTTAAATAGACGAATTTCTTTTTATTTCTGCTGTTATCAATAAGTATCATTTGAGGTGTAGTATTTCCATAGATAATATTTGAGTGGGTATACATTTTTTACTGGGTCGTACAAATTGTCATTATACCTGTTATCTCACCAGATTAGAGTTTATCATATTGCAATCAAAGGAAAATAAGAGTAAGTATTAGAGAAATACCTATAAATCCAGAACTACTGAAAAAAAAAACAACGAGAAGTTTTACCCATCCCATAGATATAATAATATAAAGATGGTCCTCCATTATACAAAGATAGTAAAAAATGACCATGGGTCCAGAAATGGCCTCCTGGGGGGTTATAGAGGCATCTGATGGAAAGCCCGAGATGATTGTTCTTTGTGATTATTTTTGAAATCTTCTGTGATAAAATAACCAAATTTTATACAGGGTGTCCCACTAAAATTTGTCACCTCTCTTTATCCTCGTAATTCTCAACATAGTTTGTTATTCAAAAACTTTTCTGGAATGATTTTTAACGAATTTTTTGAATCTGTGTTCATTTTATCTCTACATCAACAAAATACAAGGAGGCCCCGAAGAATTTTTTTTTTTTTCAAAGGAAATGATCGACATTTTTTTTCCATGATTAGATTAAGCTTGTCAATCTGAATTCAAAAATAAATATCATTATAATACCATTAATACCTATATTATTATCGAATAAAATTGAGATCATTCCATTTAGAGAAAACATTTTGTTATTAGCCACCCTGTATTTGTCTAAATAAAGAGGAAATGAAATGAGTACAGATTCGAAAAATTCTTGAAAAACGTATTTTAACTTCTACCTATAGAAATTTTCTCGGAATATATTCTTCATAAATCTCTACAAGCCCAGGCAACTCTTTCTTAAAACATATCCCCCTCTATCACGCAAAAGGGTTCACGAACTTAATAAGAATTTCCTGTAGTGCAATCCGAGAAATAAAAAAACTCACGACGTCCACAACTTATTGTTTTCGTCCCTCTAATTATCACAACTGGATCAAAATATACGACATTGCAATCTTGCGAATTATTGAAATATACAGGGTAAAATTGAAATATACAGGGTGAAATTGAAGAAAGTTCGCCGTATACTATCAAATAATAGCACCAATAAAAAAATATAGGGATCAAAATAAAATTTGGGGTGAGACCCCTTATTCCACCCAAAGTTTTCTACACTGTAGCAATTATGACGTCGCATTCACGCACGAGTTCTACCATTTGAATTGCCTTGCAGTGGCGTGCTTATTTTTTTCCGAAAAATTGTTAAGACTGTATTTGTATTGATGTGCTCTGAATATGTGCACTCATTTCAAAACCACTTAGTATAGGTAGAGGCATTTGATGGGTGAATCACTATAAGTAGGTATTTAATATTTATTTGTTGCCGCCAATGGCAAATGTTACAGATTTTGGGTGTATGATGAATTGATATTCATCGTACAGGGAGTGGAAAGAAATTCTGAATTGAGACTCTATCACGAATCTGCGATTAGAAGTCTATAAAAAACCACAAGTTTCCATCGTTCAAGTTTGAACCCCCTGATTGGTAAGTTATATTTCTATATCATTATACATCATATTATTCATCCGATTTGAAGAAGAATGTCAATTCTCAATTTCGGAGAATTTTATTCTTCATTTTTCATGTTCTCCTTTTGAATGTTCATCAGATATAATTCAATGTTCGACGAGGCAAGTAGCCAGGAAAGTAGTTGTTTTCTGTTGAATATTCAGAATGATGTGTGCATATACATATTTTTATCTGAAGGAGAATGCAAATTCTCAATTTCAGAAGTTTTTATATCTTATTTTCAAACTCTTATCGTGTGTGTTCAATAGATATAATTCAATGTTCGTCGTGGCATATAGCCAGGAAAGTAGTTGTTTTCTATTGAATCAACTGAGCAAGAGTAAATATTCTCATCACATAGAGAATGCGAATTCTCAATGTATTGCTTTATATAAATATATATCCATTTTTGTATGTTCATAATTTATCTGAGAATATTCCTTTTTAAATGTTACAGAACTGAATTTTAGTTACTAATGCACAAATAATCTCAACATTGCAACATTTTCAACTGGGATCAAGGAAAACAAGGATTACTCACCCAGGAAGTTTATTAAAATTATCATAACATGTTCAATCAGTCTTTTAATTAAAATTTTAAAACAATAGTAGAGTGCCAATCGAATCCTATCGTTCACCCCGTGGGAAATCGGAGGTAAAAAGCTGTGACATGGCTAGAATTGTTACCTACCATCTCCAGATCATGGATCCACTTGTCGTCAAAAAATCGTCCTGTGCGTTTGGGGGGTAGGGGGTAATTTATAAAAAAATATGGATTTTTTTTTTATTCGTGGAAAATATTCATGGGTTTCAGAACTTCCACCCTGTTGAATCTTGATTTCGTGTGACGAGTAGAACAAATTAAAGAAAATTTTGAAATTTACTAATTACATTACGATATATGAGAGAATCATATTTCAAACGTCTATAACTCAAAACTTGTAAATTCTCGTTAAATTGTTTTTCATATACCTCGCATTATCTCAGTAACTACAACGTTTATCAAAAAAATACTTCAAATAATGTCGATGCGCCTATGTTTCAAGATGCGAATGGTTCTTTGATTTTGAAAATCGAAGCATAAATAAGGAAGATATTTAGAAAATCATAATGCAATGCAGGTACCACGGACGAACGCGTTTCGCCGCATTCGTACCCCTATTCTCCCCGCAATACCCGCGGCTATCATGGTTCCATACGCTTTCGTTATACACATCAACATTGAGGCGTTGACCGTTGGATCTAATGGTGACTTATTGTGAATTAATCTTCGATATTTGGTACTGTGTGTTCTGTTTCAATAATTAAATAAGTATTGATCAGCTAACGAAATCTATTATTGTAAATTTATCATGAAATAAATGTTTCTCTAGATAAAAGATGGAAAGTACTAGCAATTCAGACACTGATCTTGAATATGTCTTGAAGTTGAAGATTCCTTTCCAGCAGAGTACAGAATCATCGAGAAAATGTTTCATTTGTGGAAAAGATGGTCAACTCCTTCGTTGTACAGAATTATCGATAAAAACATTTGAAAGTTGTATATGAATATAAGAAAAAACCTCGGAAAAAACTATGCGAGGCAAATTGATAATATTTTCAATGAAAATAATGGTCAATCGATCTTCTAGCACAGGAATATTGAAAACTGGAGACAATAATGTCAGGAATAAAACGCGTTCTATAGTGAAATTGATGTGAAGGTATTTTTGATTTGTCTAAAAGATTTTTCTACCAAAAACGTTCAAATAAGAGTCAAGTTTTGACCTAGTATTGACTACCAACATTGTTTATTGCCATGGAAGTCAAGTATCATAACCAATGCTTTGTATCGAATTGGACACATTATAGAGGATCATTGAGTGAGAATGAAGTTGTCATACCACACATGACAAAGAATTTGATGATCTGATAAAATTAATAGATGGTGCAGATTTTCTAATGAAAAAGGGTATATATTTCAACTGTTTATATCAAAAATATGCCGAACTTGGTGGCAAAACTGGTAGGAAAATCTTAATCGAAGATTACTGTCTGTATATAGGTTAATCGAGAAGGTGAAACATTCATTTTACTTGATTTTTTGGTATTTTCTCTCCTCGTTTCTTTGGACGTTTCGGCAACTAATCTGCTCCCGTTCGCAACATAAAAATGCAACTTCCAAAACGTTCTAATGAGTCGTAATTTGTGATTCCAAGTGACAAAAACTCATCTGATTCATACACATATAAAGAACAAAGTGAAATTACAGAAGATAACTCCCCTGACTTTGTATGCATCAGATATGACCCAAATACACAAACTTTTTTGACATATTTATCAAGATATGAGAGATATTCTAGATTATAAACAACTCAAAAATATGGATGTCAATGCTTACAAGGATATGATACCAAAAAAACTTCTTTCAAATTAGTTGCCTTATACACGATGAAGTTGATTCAGTTGATTCAAAGGTGTTGAGTATCTGATGTCAAGGTAATACTCGCTAATTCGAAAGTCAAAAAACTCACACCGAAACACGTTGGTTTGGGAATAATGATTCATCAAGAGACATGATCGAAAAAAATTATCGTAGCTTTGTGTTCTTGTGGACACTGTATCGTATTTACGTGTATTTACAACTTCGCAATTCGATAGGTATCAAATGTTTTTTTCAAGTTTCCACAAGGATATCTTATTTTTATCTCAATATTATATGCATCATGTTTCGTTTCAATATTTGTCAATTTGTTTATAAATGAGATGGTTGACATTTTACTCTGATATGGATAAGAAATGTACTTTCGAGATAGAATAATTCATAAAATAAATGGAGGGCACTTCCAATCAAACAGCAAGTTAAAATAAATTTCTGTTAACTTGGAAAATAGCGATCAATTCCATTTCTCCCGTGAATTCCAAGATCGTACTATTCTGTAACACTCAGTAATTCATATTTACGGTGATCGTTCTAGGACGGCTGCGGGCGTTGCGGGGAGTATCGGGGTATGAAAGCGGCGAGTCGCCGTCCTTCGTACTACCTGCATTGTATTATGATTTTCCCAATATCTTCATTATTTATTCTTCGATTTTCAAAATCGAAGAACCATTCGCATCTTGAAACATAGGCGCATCGACATTATTTTGAGTATTTTTTTGATAAACATTATAGTTACTGAGATAATGCGAGATATATAAAAAGCAATTTAACGAAAATTTACAAGTTTCGAGTTATAGCCGTTTGAAATATGATTTTCTCATATATCGTAATGTAATTGGTGAATTTCAAAATTTTCTATAATTTGTTCTACTTGTCACACGAAATCAAGACTCGACAGGGTGGAAGTTCTGGAACCCATCAATATTTTCCACGAATAAAAAAAAATCCATATTTTTTTTATAAATTACCCCCTACCCCCCAAACGCACAGGACGATTTTTTGACGACAAGTGGATCCATGATCTGGAGATGGTAGGTAACAATTCTAGCCATGTCACAGCTTTTTACCTCCGATTTCCCACCAACTTTTGATCTAAGCGACTTACGGTTCGTTTGGCACTCTACTACAAGGAAAACACAATATTTCACCCGTTTTATTTTTCAGTTTATATGGTCGATTTTTCCCAGTATAGATTTTCATAAATCGGTATACTGGGCACTTGACAATTAATCACCCTGTACTATGGTCGATATTTTGTGCGTATACAGTGGCAGCGATATGTGGTAGTTTCGGTCGGAAAACTACTTCATCATTTACAAGATAGTCGGAATAATCCAAAGAATAGAGGAGCTTGAAACCTAGAGATTTAGCTGCTGATGCTGAATAAAGGCTCGTACAGTCCATCTTTATGAAACCACAATGATTTTCTTTGCCCAAATCCCTTAAAAAAAGAGAAATTATACATTGATAATAATAATAATAATAATAATAATAATATGTCTTTATTCATCATCATCATTTCACAACTGGTAGAGAAAGAAACAAATAGATGAAAGGGCGGGGTTCAGCTAAGAAGCTGCTTTTAAACCCAACCGGTAGAATGATATAAATATAATTAATAAGAAACTAAATTACAGAATTTTCGAAATGAATTTATGATTAAGATTTTTACATCGGAATAATTACCAGAAAATTAGTATAAATGTATAAGTGGACAGACAGTACAGTTTAATGCACTAAATAAGATAGTTACAACCAGATCAAAATCACGCCGTCATAAAAAAGGAAAAACTACTGCTGCCAAGAGAAAAACAATTTCAGCCATTTCTTAAAATTATTTAAAGTGAAATCCTTGAATTCAACAGGGATGGGAAAAATACACATTTTATAGGATCAAAATGTAGCACATGGAAAAACTTGCAGCCATTTAAAAATTAACTAGAGGGTCGTGAATTTATGGAAATAGTATTTACCTGATCCTATTCAGCATCCTCTTGGCAATCCCCTGTCCCCTATAAGATTCATCGACCGACAATACATTTATCACAACCCCTCTGTCAGCATGGGGAAACTCCTCGAAAATTTTCGTCTCATTGGCTAGACGATCAAAGAGGCCTATCAGCTTAGCAAATCTCTCATCTTCAACTTCCGGAAGCGCATCCTTATGATTTCTGTCTATCACATCGCTCAAGCAAACTCCGATCAATTTTTTTTTATCCAGGGCTAGAACTGATAGTCCTCGATCGAAATTGATCATGGAGAATGCCTCAGCTTCTTCGTGGATCGGTTCTTTTGGGGTAACGAGGCCTATGGATTGGTTCAACGGTTCGTCTTTGTAGAAGAATGTTCTTAGGAAGCGGATGATTTGGTCTTTGTCTTGGGTTGTTGCGATTTTGAGGTCGATGTGATTGGAATCCGAAGGCATTTTGCACCTTTTCCTAAAAATTATTCGAAGCTTTTGCAGTCAGTTTGTGAACAAACTCGATTTAGATAGACGAAGATGACTGGTGGAGATAATATTCAAACTGGAGGTAAACTCTCGAATCAAAGGTTCCTGAAGAAAAACTAGACGAATTGCATGAAATAAACCAAAGTGCTCTGTAGAATATCTGAACAAACTGAAGAAATCTGTGGAAACAGCTTCAGAGGAATAAAAAACCATCAAGTTTCCCTGATCCAGAGCTAGAACTGATAGCCCTTGATCGAAATTGATCATGGAGAATTCCTTAGCTTCTTCGTGGATCGGTTCTTTTGGGGTAACGAGGCCTATGGAGTCGTTCAACGGCTCGTCTTTGTAGAAGAAAGTTCTTAGGAAGCGGATGATTTGGTCTTTGTCTTGGGTTGTTGCGATTTTGAGGACGAAGTGATTGGAATCCGAAGGCATTTTGCACCTTTTCCTAAAAATTATTCGAAGCTTTTGCAGTCAGTTTGTGAACAAACTTGATTTTAGATAGACAAAGATGACTGTGGAGATAATATTCAAACTGGAGGAAAACTCTCGAATCAAAGGTTCCTGAAGAAAACCTAGACGAATTGCATGAAATAACCCAAGGTGCTCTGTAGAATATCTGAACAAACTGAAGAAGTCTGTGGAAACAGCTTCAGAGGAATAAAAAACGATCAATTTTCCCTGATCCAGAGCTAGAACTGATAGCCCTCGATCGAAATTGATCATGGAGAATGCCCCAGCTTCTTCGTGGATCGGTTCTTTTGGGGTAACAAGGCCTATGGAGTCGTTCAACGGTTCGTCTTTGTAGAAGAAAGTTCTTAGGAAGCGGATGATTTGGTCTTTGTCTTGGGTTGTTGCGATTTTGAGGTCGAAGTGATTGGAATCCGAAGGCATTTTGAACCTTTTCCTAAAAATTATTCGAAGCTTTTGCAGTCAGTTTGTGAACAAACTTGATTTTAGATAGACAAAGATGACTGTGGAGATAATATTCAAACTGGAGGAGAACTCTCGAATCAAAGGTTCCTGAAGAAAAGCTAGACGAATTGCATGAAATAAACAAAAGTGCTCTGTAGAATATCTGAACAAACTGAAGAAGTCTGTGGAAACAGCTTCAGAGAAATAAAAAACGATCAATTTTCCCTGATGATCCAGAGCTGGAACTGATAGCCCTCGATCGAAATAGATCATGGAGAATTCCTCAGCTTCTTCGTGGATCGGTTCTTTTGGGGTAACGAGGCCTATGGAGTCGTTCAACGGTTCGTCTTTGTAGAAGAAAGTTCTTAGGAAGCGGATGATTTGGTCTTTGTCTCGGGTTATTGCGATTTTGAGGTCAAAGTAATTGATGGGAAAACTATATATGATTCTCCCAAGCACCAAAAAGTTTAATGTTTATGATGGTATAGTATTATGCAAACTCTCGGATATGTTAGATTTCTGATTTCATACAATCTCCGAAGACAAAAACTAGAGGAATTGCATGAAATAAACCAAAGTGCTTTGGAGAATATCTGAACAAACTGAAGCAATCTATGGAAGCAGAAAATTGAAGGTATGTAGTGCAGAATATAGAAGCAATCTTTCTCAGATATATTATGAACAAAAAAAAATTGGATACATAAAAAGAACTACATTGAGAATTCGCATTCTCTATGTGATACAAATATCAATTCTCTCTCGGTATATTTAACAGAAAACAACTACTTTCTTGTCGAGATACAGATAAAAGACGGCCTGTTAATGAAATCGGACAATGTGAACAAAATGAAATTTTGATGCTAATATGTGATCAAACTGAAGTTATGTAGGTAGTAGTTAATACTGCGAGTATTAAAAAAATGAAAATGGTGTAATTTCAAAACTTTTCCTAGAAAAAAAATTCCGATAGCCGTGGTGAAGTAATCCATGAATCCATTCTATGTGGAAATAGCTTCAGAGACAACATATGAAAAATGTATGACAACGAGAATATCTGTAATGTGTACATGCTGATGTTTTTCCAAACAATTTGCGAACAGATTATGTCTTATTGTAGAGGTACGGAAGAAATGTAATCTACATAGCATAATAAATTTAAAGAAAACCTGTGGAAGAAAAATAATTTTTTGAAGCCAATCTGTGAAAAAACTGTAGTATTTCTGTTATATATTATAATGTATATTTTGATTACATTTAAATACATGAGAAAACTTACCTTGTATGTATGTACCTATGACTAACGCCAATGGTTGCTGGTAATCATAAATCTCATAACACGTTGAATCGGTTTGTTAACAGATAAAAAAAGATTCAAAATATCATCACAGAATACCACCTGTTTTCTTTGAAATCGAATTTAATCTCTTTTCACAGTAGGCAAATCCTTGTTGATTGTTATTGCGGCAGTAAATTGATACTAATAGTAATAAGCAGTGATTTCATAATTATGGCATGGTTGTATTTGAGAGGATAGTAGGTCTCTACCGAAGGTTATCGCATTCCACGTTCTAATAGAAAACTATTTATAATTTTTTTATAAACAACATTACACCGATTGACGGAGCGAATGTATGATGGGTTGCTAGATGTACAGGGTGTCTAGAAGATCTTAAAAATCCCCGAAGATATAATATATGCTGAACGACAATTTTGGTAATCCATTCCATTATGACGGATTTTTGTCTTAAGTAGATACAGAGTGGGTTATTGATGATTTGTGTTGGTATATGAATACTTATTTTTTATTTTTAAACCACATACCTATATTGAAAAACAGATAATGAATTGGAATTTCATATAAGATATACAGTGTGTCCACCTTAAGGACTTACCACCCCTGTAAAATTGTTATTATCTGACCGATTTCAAAAAACTTTTTTTTGTTGGATAGGTATTTGAAATGTCCATCCAACAAGAGAGTGATTTTACTCATGAACTGTAATCGTGGCCAACTGCGACCAACTTTATTGACCCATATTTGAGAAAGTACTATTAGGGATTTTTTTTCACAAAAAACACTGATGGATTCTGAATCACGATCACTTGAAAAACACCTTCACTGATTCTTATCATCATAAAACACAGGGTGTCCGAAAAAACGAATTGTTTTTTTTTTAATAGGTGCGATCAGAAAATGTAGTATTGTGGTATTTTTGAGAAGAATTGATGACACATTATTATTGAGGATCACTTTGAACATCTGTACCGATTTTCATCATTCAAAAATACGATGTATATGAGAAAACAATTAAAAAGAAAAAGTAGGCAATACTTTTTCATCACCTCAAAAAAAATATTAATTTGATTTTTCGAACTCCCTGTGTTTAATGATAATGAAAATCAGTACAGGTATGTTCCAAGTGATTCTGATTCATCTTTTTATTTTGAGTGAAGAATTACCAGGATGAAAAATATTGCTTACCTATCCTTTTTAATTTTTTTCTCAGACACATTGTATATTCAAATGACGAAAATTGGTACAGGTATATTTGAAATAATCCTCAATGATAATTTGTGATTATTTCTCTCTAGAAAAACCTCAGAACTACATTTGCTGATCACCTATTTGAAGAAAATGATGATTCGTTTTTTCGGACACCCTGTGTTTTATGATGATGAAAATCGGTACAGGTATATTTCAAGTGGTACTGATTCAGAATCCATCATCAAGTTTCGTAGAAAAAAATCCCTAATAGTACTTTCTGGAATATGGGTCATTGAAATTTGTCGCAGTTGGCCACGATAACAGTCCAAGAATTAGATCACTCTCTCGTTGGATGGGCATTTCAAATACCTATCCAACAAAAAAGGTTTTTTGAAATTGGTCGGATAATAACGATTTTACAGGGGTGATAAGTCCTTAAGGTGGACACACTGTATATACTGTGATTGAATTGAGCGAAAATCAATAATGAGAAAATTCATCTATGGGACAAACTATTATCAGGTAGGTACAGATAAAACGAACTGAAATTGGATCGCATATAGCTTGAAATGTTGTAACATTTATTGAGTTTCAACTTGAAACAACTTTAGTCATAACAATATAACACATAAAATAAAAAAATTCTGCATTTGTAGATTCAACTAAACCAACAACTAGGAATTAACAATTAACAATCAACAATTAATAACTATAACTAATATTTCTCAATTATTATATGTGAAATGTATTTTGAAGGTTGCTCAAAATAATGATGCAAAAAAACTGTTATTGGTCTTCACAATCGATTTGTCCTTCCCAATATCAAAAACAAGCAAAATTTGGGAATTTCCTGAACCTGAAATACTACCAAACTCCACTTTGAACAATAGCAAAACACATTTTATGATCTGTGAATTTCCTGTCCAACATTTACTAATTCTTAATTGTTAAGTAGAATGTCCAAAATATTAAGAAAATATACATATATTCATGTATGAATTCTAATAAGACATTTACTTGTAATCAACTTTTTTGGTTCCTAGTTGTTGGTTTAGTTGAATCTAAAGACCCAGCAATAAATGCAGTTGGTATTGAATTGGAGAAAAACAAGAATTTCCTCATTTTTTTTTAGGCCACCTCAATATGGCTCAAGCAAAGAGTAAAGCTGGGTTTTCAGCTCTATTCTGATGGGGTAGAACACCCAAGGGACACCCTTGATATGCTGAAGTGTCTAAAAAAACAAAACAAAACATGTTTCACTCCTATGAATTTTTCATAAATACAACCCAACATTTCTATCCTTTGATTTTTGATGCATTTAAAGTTGTCTATCAGCAAAGGTGTATTTATTATATTTGTTTCCCCACTATACCGGATGACACAGGAAACATGTAGCAGTCTCTAGTATTTTTATTTGAAGAGATAAAATTTTGAAATTCACAGGGGGTATATAATAAATGGTAGCGCACTTTATGAACTTAACGACAATTTTTTTCAACCATCTGTTTGACCGGAAGTGACCCCAACTTTTTTTTTTAAATGTCACCATGTACATTTCTTCAGTCTATCTTTTTCGCCTTGAAATTCTCTATCCAACCATGTATCACAAAGTGGCATTTATTTCTTAATTTGCTGTTGAATTGCTTATTATTCAAAAAGAATAAGTTGGCTATGACATGAATTCGATGATATATGGACACTTAGTAGGCTTTGAAATTCAAAGATCATTAATGAACCGAAATTATTCAAAATGTTTCGATATTCTGATCAATTTCTGCAGGTTGTCAATAGCTTGTTTGAAACAAGAATCAAGATGAAAATCTTCGAAATTAACTCATGATATTGAGGAATCTAAGATAGGAACATATTTTTTCGAATTCAGCTACTCCTACAGAAACTATCTGTCTTTTATTTTCGCCATGTACCTATCACATGATCTTCCCATTTGGAATAATGAAACTAAAATTGTTCCTCTTATACGATGATCCACAGGGCTATCAGTCTATTTATTCATAATTATTTCACTTAGTAGGCGGTGTACCTACACAAAATGTTTTATGTGTTTGACAGTTAATCGATTGCATCAATAATTTTTCTTCTTCATTTGTGTGTTGATTAAAATTGCATATTATCAATAGAGACGGAAAATGTATTCAAGAAACGAAGATATGTTACCAGATCTAGTAACCTAACCTAAGATATGTTACCAGATCTAGTAACCCAACCTAAGATATGTTACCAGATCTAGTAACCCAACCTAAGATATGTTACCAGATCTAGTAACCCAACCTAAGATATGTTACCAGATCTAGTAACCCAACCTAAGATATGTTACCAGATCTAGTAACCCAACCTAAGATATGTTACCAGATCTAGTAACCCAACCTAAGATATGTTACCAGATCTGGTAACCCAACCTAAGATATGTTACCAGATCTGGTAACCCAACCTAAGATATGTTACCAGATCTAGTAACCAAACCTAAGATATGTTACCAGATCTAGTAACCCAACCTAAGATATGTTACCAGATCTAGTAACCCAACCTCAGATATGTTACCAGATCTAGTAACCGAACCTAAGATATGTTACCAGATCTAGTAACCCAACCTAAGATATGTTACCAGATCTAGTAACCCAACCTAAGATATGTTACCAGATCTAGTAACCCAACCTAAGATATGTTACCAGATCTAGTAACCCAACCTAAGATATGTTACCAGATCTAGTAACCCAACCTAAGAAATGTTACCAGATCTGGTAACCCAACCTAAGATATGTTACCAGATCTGGTAACCCAACCTAAGATATGTTACCAGATCTAGTAACCCAACCTAAGATATGTTACCAGATCTAGTAACCCAACCTAAGATATGTTATCAGATCTAGTAACCCAACCTAAGATATGTTACCAGATCTAGTAACCCAACCTAAGATATGTTACCAGATCTGGTAACCCAACCTAAGATATGTTACCAGATCTAGTAACCCATCCTAAGATATGTTACCAGATCTAGTAACCCAACCTAAGATATGTTACCAGATCTAGTAACCCAACCTAAGATATGTTACCAGATCTAGTAACCCAACCTGAGATATGTTACCAGATCTAGTAACCCAACCTGAGATATGTTACCAGATCTAGTAACCCAACCTGAGATATGTTACCAGATCTAGTAACCCAACCTAAGATATGTAACCAGATCTAGTAACCCAACCTAAATGTATTCAAGAAACGATAACGTCGATATGTTGTTAATATGCAATTTCAATCAACACACATTTGTGTGTTGATTGAAATTCTTCATTTGAAGAAGAAAAATTATCGATGCAATCGATTAACTGTCAAACACAAAACATTTTGTGTAGGTACACCGCCTACTGAGTGAAATAAATATGAAAAAATAGACTGATAGCCCTGTGGATCATCGTATAAGAGGAACAATTTTAGTTTTATTATTCCATATGGGAAGATCCTGTGAAAGGTACATGGCGAAAATAAAAGAGATAGTTTCTGTACGAGTAGTTGAATTCGAAAAAAATATGTTCCTATCTTAGATTCCTCAACATCATGAGTTATTTTCGAAGGTTTTCATCTTGACTCAAACAAGCTATTGACAATCTGCAGACATTGATCAGAATATCGAAACATTTTGAATAATATCGGTTTACTAATGATATTTAAATTTCAAAGCCTACCAAGTGTCCATATACCATGGAATTCATGTCACAGCCAACTTATTCTTTTAGAATAAAAAGCAATTCAACAGCGAATCAAGAAATAAATGCCGCTTTGTGATACATGGTTGGATAGAGAATTTTGAGGCGAAAAAGATAGACTGAAGAAATGTACAGGGTGACTTTAAAAAAAAAAGTTGGGGCCACTTCCGGTCAAACAGGTGGTTGAAAGAAATTGTTGTTAAGTTCATAAAGTGCGCTAGCATTTATATATATATACCCCTATGAATTTCAAAATTTTATCTCTTCAAATAAAAAAACTACAGGCTGCTACATGTCTCCTGTGTCACCGGGTATAGTAAAGTTTTTCAAAGTACATTATTTTTATCCTGATGAAAATCTAGTCCTCATTCATGAAAGCTATAGTTTTTCTGTAGAAATTTTGAAAAACAGTTGAAATATATTGAGGTCAAGTGGTGTAAAAACAGTTTTTCATATACATAAGGACAAAAATATGACCTACCTTTTATGATTTTCCATCTAGTTCCCAATACAGTGTTGCCAATATTTCCGGTATTAGCTGTAGAAGCAATTTCCTTTACTTGACAAATATCTTCATAATAATTGAGTCCTGATGCTGAACTGAGGTTATCTAAGGAGAATATTTCACCATTCCATGTAGTGAAATTAGTGTTAAGACCAATCAAATTTTCAACCAAATTTTTTGTAAGCTTAATGTGCTCATCTGTGTTTTTGTTGAAAGTCATAACTCTGAAGAGAATAAAAGATATTTGCTCATGTCAGTCATTCAATATGAAAAATTCACACCTTTCTAAGAAATCCAGAACATAAACATTTGGTATTTTCAATATTTTTTCTTCAAATTGTTTGGCTTCTAGTAAGGGAAGCTTGTCAGAGGACTCAAACTCTATGCAGTCTTTCAATTGGGGATTTTTCTTGTTCAAAATTGTTTTCAATATGATCCTACTTGTTTTTGAGTCCAAGTCAACAGAATTTTCCTACAAACGGTTTTTTTTTTGTGGAATAAAACAGACAATTTTCAGAATTCTTGTTTCTCACAGACAAGTGGGCAACAGATTTTTTCTCTAACTCACCTCTTTTATGCCTTCAAATTCTTCCTTAATGAGTTGTAAATTCAATAATCCATCAAATATTTCTTGGATCCAAATGGAAGCTACCTTTCTCAATGTATCACTGAGAACAGCATTATTGATAATTTCCAAAAACTGATCCACCAGTGAAAATAAGCAAGAATTTTCATACAGCATCGAAACCAAATTTGACCACAACTTCCTGAAATTCTTTGGAATCATTTCAACTCCTGAAAAAATCATTTCTCAATGAATCAGCAATTTTTATTAAAGAATGGAATATCTAATACCTTCTGGAGTTGTTTCTAAGTCAGTTGCTAACATAGCCTTATCAGTGACTAATATTTTTGCTATCTGGGTCCCTATTCTTTCATTCTCTGGAATGTCAAGGTACTGCATCAAAATTTCTTCCAAAATATCAAGGAAGACATTGATAGTTATGTCATTGTACTGCTTGCTCTTTTTATTCACCACATAGTTCAGTTTTGCCATTAGCCCTTGATCAAATTCATTCATACTGATTCCATTGAGTATGTTGAAACTTAACCTGATGTAAATGTCTAGAGTTTTGGGAACTTTCCAATTCGAATCCATAGAATCTTCAGTTACCACATAATCTGTTATCAGGTCATTTTGCTGTTTCCAATATTTCTCCATCAACCATTGGAATGACTGGGTGAGAGCATGTTCTAGCAAAGATTTTGATGGTAAACGGTGGTCATGAGCTATGTCATGTCTAATATCTATCATCCATTTGGGCAGATCATTTTTAGAAGCAGTTTTGTTGAAGGTTCCTTGTTTTTCATTATTAGCAGCACAAATATTTAAGAATCTATAACAAATCTAAGCATGAGTTTCCAATAGATTCATCTTGGGATTCCAGTATAGGTACCTCAATAAGGATAAAGAGTATAGTTGGGCTATCTGATTTTCTGACAAGCTTTCTTTGTTGCACAATTGAGCTTCTAGAATAATCAAAGTGCCTTCCACACCTGCTGATAGTAAGGGCGTTCGAATTTTCCAGATTTTCAGTACTTCTATTGCTTTTTTTCGGTCATTCAATTCATCAGACTGAAGTATATTGTAAATATATGCCCATTCCGCTCTGAAAACGAATATTCTCCAATTATATTTGTTTTTCGGTTTCGGATATGATACTTACGAATTGTACCAGGGCACCAACACCTTCCCACTATGTTTCTGTGAAAACGACATTATGTTTAAGATCTTTATATTGTTTTCCACATTGATTTTTCCACTACATTTCAAATTCAAATCTAAAATCTAAAAGTCCGGGAATTGTTAGGTTATGAAAGTTAAACTCAATCTTCTTCTTATTATTATTGAAATTGACTCATGTCAGTGGCACTTTGTTTCCATGTTCCTCTAACAGGCTTCTTCTTAGTTGTTTATTTGCACGATACCACTTTTTCATGATGGGAAAACATTCTCCACGAGAAAAATCATATGGAAATCACTCGGAAATATTTTTGTCACGCAACTCCTGAAGAAATCAGTTGGTCATCTAATTTATTATCTCGATCAGGGCTCAGGGTTATACATTGATTAATTTACATACAGGATTTTCTTTGTTTAAATTGTTTTGCTTCAATGAAACTGAAACGGTGCAATGAGGCAAATCTTTCGCATTTAAACTACCTACAGCACTTAACTATAATAATATATATATAGCCTCAAAAATCCCAACAAGAGTATATAGGTATATACAGGGTGAGCCATTACTATATTGAGACACAGAGACTATTAAAAAGGGTGGATTATATTTGGACCAAAATATAGCGATAGGACCAAATTAATATGCCTCTACAAGATTACAGGGCGTAAAAGTTGAATTTTTTTATCGTTTTTTGCTAGAGTAATTTCACTGTCAATTCATCAATTGTTATCAAAATCGGTACGAAGGCATAATTTTATACACGCGGAAATATTGTTTTATGTATTATTATATAATTATACAGTTTTGTTACAGGGGACGCCACGTGAATGATACCTCTGATGATATGAAATCGACTGATACAATTTTTTGACGGCACTTTTTAGTGATTATGATCAGAAAATGAGATAATCATCATTTATTCGTGATATTGTTTCAAAACGCAAACAGTTCAAAAGTCTCGCGGAAGGGCGGGGATTTCAAATATTATTTCATTTATGAATATATATAGTGTCCTTATTTATCCTCAGATATAATTGTTGCTGGTGAGTTACATTTTATGCCAGTGAATTAATTTTGGTGCGCGAGTTTTGTAGCCAATTCGTTTTTTTCGATTGAAACGCCCTGTATCTTTTTCTACATCCCGCTTAGCCTGCTATGTCCAATTATGACTCACCCTGTATATTTTCCTTCATCATAATATATTCGGAGGCAGGCGATATCTATATAATATTATATACCTATACTTATGATTATTCAAATTATTGATGTTTGATATACTTATTAATTGTAGGAAAAACGATCGAAGCAAAACAGATAGGCATGACTTGAAAGCAGTTTGCAGTCGTAATTAATTCTCATTAGTCATTAGTACAGCAATTATGAGAAAAATTAATAAATCATAAGAATTTTCGACAATATGCTGATGCATAATGAAGCATATCTATGAAATTCACTGATTTTTCAATGACATATTATAACATCTCATCAGGCAATGATGCTCACAACCAGTACCTCTGTACCTGGCCATTATTTTCAGTGAATCTAGTGAATCCTTATAGTAAATCGTATGAGACCAGTTATTGCCGAGTCGAACATTATTAAATCTTCAAAAATTTCAAGTCATGTCATATATAGGTAGGTACCTATTAGATACCTATATTATACGCGTTCTGGAAATTTGAAAATACCATGGTTGCATTTTGAGTTCTATAGACAAATCACTTTCTCATTTCACTCATTTCAGGTCATAATCTATATTTTGTGTTCCCTTGTGGCTACTCAGTTTTCGGAAATTAATTGGTTGCATTCTAGGTTTCACACCAATCACCAATCAGCAAATTATATTGAGAACGATAAAATGAAAATGAAATTTTCTGCGACGAACTTTGAACCCAGCTTCTGCAACGAACCGTTAGATGGCGCTGCACGCGTCTCATCGACACAGGAAGGCCGGGAGTTTTCAAATAGTGCGGGCACGCCTTGTCAAAGCATACTTACCTGGCGTAGGGGTTACCGTGATCAACAAGGCGGTTCCCCCAGGGCGAGGCCTTTCCATTGCACTTCGGTCGGGCTGACCTCTGCGATTATCCCTAATGCGGATAACTCGGGCGCGTAATTTTTGGTAGTCGGGACTGCGTACGCGCTGTCCCGGTGTAAAGTAAATTGAAACATAATGGATCATGAAGTGATGGTGTTGACAATTATCGACACTTATCATGTATTGTCGACTCGATGTGCAATGAGAAACTGAAATAATTTTCATATGAAACTCATGACGAAAACCGAAAAATCTCCATAAATAGAAAAAAAAAAACACCTGCAAAATAAACAAATCCTGATAAAAAATATGGCATTCCATGAAATATATAGAAAATAAATAATCCAACTCGATATCAAATTTGTGGAACTATCGAATATGAAACTATCGATATGGCCGATAGTTGAAACTATCGATGTTTACGAGGTGAAAAATTATCGATATTCTGTTTATTAGGCAGAAAGCACACGTGAACGTACTGAAAATTCTAACATACTGGACAGCAGTTCTCATGAGACAGAATACACTGATCAAAAACAGTTTCGAAACTGAATGCACTGGTCATGAGTTTACAATCTCACCACCAAATTCCAAACAAAATACACTGGTTAACAGTTCGTACCAAATTTGAAACCAAGTGGACTCCAACGGTTCTCACTAAAGTTAGTTCGAAATAAAATAAACTGGTCATAAAGACACTGGACAGCAGTTCTCATGAGACAAAATACACTGATCAACAACAGTTTCGAAACTGAATGCACTGGTCAGGAGTACACAATCTCACCACCAAATTCCAAACAAAATACACTGGTTAACAGTTCGTACCAAATTTGAAACCAAGTGGACTGCAACGGTTCCGGTTCTCACTATAGTTAGTTCGAAATAGAATAAACTGGTCAACAGTACGTACTAGTTTTTTCCTGTGGAGTGGTAATGAACCACTTTATACTTTCATTTGGAACGGAAATACACTGACAGTATATATTAATTCGAACAAAAAATGGCTAACAGTTTACACGGTTTTCTCAGATCAACGCCATCAACGGACGAAATGAAATACCTACTGCACAATCATTTGCTCCATTTTGGAAGTATTGTTAAATTGGGAACAATTTTTTAAATTATGTGGGCGACCAACGATCTAAATGTCATTTGAAATTTCAAGTTTCGAGGAAGCAAGATCAAAAGATATAATGTCGACGTGATTATTAGTAATGGTAGTAAAATAAAACGATTTTCCCAGTAAAAAAAAAACATATCGTGTAGGAGTTAAATTCGATCAATCTAGAGGTGTATTTTCCATATCACCTTCGCTCATTACTAGTAATAAACAATGTTTTATAATTATTGCTACAAACACTGAGTAATTAAATCTGTAAAAAACGCCATAGCTTAGTCATTAGGAAATGGGATTGAGACTCGATATCGATACAACGTGTATACAGGGCAGAGCTGAACATACTTCTTGTTGCATTGATGTTTTTCCCTTTCTGTCAAAGTATGTCACTATCAGAAGAGCATTTCAATTGAATGATTTTGGCTCTTTTTACTTGTGTACAACACAGTTCCAGTAATTTTTGAATAAAGGACGTTAGAGGAGTGTCTTTTTTTATTTCTATGCGCATGCATGAGTTTTAATTATCTATTCGAATAGAACATTGGATTTGGGTTAATTAAAATAATAATATGCAATTTCACAGCATCAACTTGATTCGATTTATTATAAAAATAGTTTGTTGAAATTGTTCTTCGTATTTGTTTCAATTCTGAGTAATTTTCTAGGTAGTTTTTGCGGGACCCCATAGGATATAGCAAATGTAGCAAACAAATTCAACTGAGTATATGACAAAGAAAATATGGCGAAAAAAAAATCTCATTTCGGAAGCGATATACAAAAGTACATTTCAATGGATACTTTCAGACTCTGTGATTCACTGAATCGCCCCGTATAAAAAATATATTTTTTTGAGGTTGAACGACTTTCACCGATCGCAAGGCAATGCCACCAAACCAATGATCGATAAAGAGATAAGATTGCACGAATCACCAATGGACGACCTCTTGATAGTTTGACGGTCGTATAGAAAAAAATAAAGTTAACCATTCGGAAATAAATCAACTTTGTTTACTTCCTTATATTTTCTATTTTATTTCGATCGGAAGTGAACGACAGATTTATTTTATCGATTGAATTTCGTCGAAATAAGAGGTGATCCATAATAAAGGTAAACGGTTTTGAAGGTAATGCAATAACCCAAGATTGATGAAATATAACCATGTGAAAGTGAATATATAAATTATCGAATATTTCTTTAATGCGATGATTTTTGGAATTGGCATCGGCAACAATAATTGCTCCTATAAGTCCTATACACTTATTCACGTATGATGATAATGATAATAATAATAATCGATTTTTATTTATACTCATTTCAATATCATGCATAAAAGTTGAAGTTTAGCTGACGCTATTTACTCTTACAAACCTATACATATTATATTATAAGATATAATAAAAGATAAGAACCTAACTGAACAAAATATGGAATTTGTGATGCAATAAATTGTTTATATAGTTTGTAGTATTTTGTACTTAGGTACAATCAACAAAGTGAAAAATAAAATTGCATTCTCCTGATCACATAGGTATATATAATTTTGCTTCATTTATTATTTTGAATGTGGATTTCGATATGAGGTTTTTAGTTTTTGTGATTGTGACAAAATTAAGCTATAAATTGATGAATAGGAAGAATTTTTCCTGAACATGGCTGACAAATGACGAGAAATGTGAAATTTCTGGTTAGTTCAAAGGTTCAAAGAATGGAATTCTAATCTCCTTTGTCAAGTTATTGAATAGGGGAGCAGGTATATTTTCGATTTCCTTTAACATGAAGACAACATTTTCTGTAACCTAAAATAAATAAATGGAATATATTATTATGTTTCAATCTTGAATCTTTGCACAGTCGTACTCACACTGCGATGAGTAGATGAACTTGAAAAAATGCATATCCTTCTTATAGGACTCCACGATAGTGCTAATAATCGCTGATAGCTGATACTGATATAGATATCGAAAAATATGTGACAAATAAAATTGCCAACACCGCCGCCGCCGCTGCCACCACCGCTGCCGCCACCACTGCAGCCACCTCCACGGCTACAGCCACCGCTGCCGCCACTGCCACAGCTGCCGCCATTGCTGCCGACGTGTGAAAATTACGCATCGGCAGAGTAGTATCATGGAGTACGCGTTTAGTTCCTAGAGGGCGCGGCGCGCTTACGCTTGCCGCCTGCCGACGGCATTCGGTTGAGCGGCAATAAATACTAGTTTATTTAAATTGTTCGGCATCGCTTCTCGGCCTTCTGGCTAAGATCAAAGTGTAGTATCTGTTCTTATCAGCTTAATATCTGATACGCCCCGCATGCGGGGCCAGTATATTAAACTGATTTTTGGAAACTGATGGAGGGTTAGGGGCTTGCTCCACCTCCGTCGCGGGTTGGCCCGGTATTGCAGTACCTCCGGGATCGGCCCATTTCATGAAAGCCAAACATAACTTACTTACTTGACCTATACCTTACTAATACAGAACCGCGGCCGCGGATGCGCATGAAATTCGCGGCAACCCTGATTCGACCAGCTGGCCTGTACCGATTGCGCGGGCAAACTGGCAACTGCCGCGTACTAATAATGCTGTCTACACGACCGCCGCGGCGGTTCGATACTGATTCGTAAACGACCGCCGCGGCGATTGAATACTGATAAATAAACAACCGCCGCGACACTATTTCTTCCTTCTTTATAGAGTACTTCCGAGCAAAGCAAAAGCTGTGTACTTCACCACGGCGGTGACTCGGGTTCAACCCCTGCGAGACCTAATTTTTATTATGAAAATGAATTATAAATCCTTTGGCGAATTTAGAAACGGTTATGGAATATGAGTACGGGCACTGTCTACACGTCCGCCGCGGCGGTTGGATACTGAAACATAAACAACCGCCGGCGGTCACCTATTTCTAGTTTTCGAAAAATTATTATTCTCACAAATGATCTAATAATAATAATCAACTTTTATTTATATTTCAATGTAACATAATAGGGGAAGTTGAGCTATACTCTCTTACTAAATAAACATTATAAGAAAAGAGAACAACCATAACTGAACAAAATATAGATTTTGTGATGCTTCGATTCAAAACTTCATATCGAAATCCAAATTCAAAAGGATAATTGAAGCAAATTTATATGTGTGATCAGAAGAATTCAATTTCATTTTTCACTTTGTTGATTATATGTATATATTTTATGTAGATACTACAAATAATTTACTATTTGTAAACTATTTTTTGTTCAGTTAGGTATCCTTTCGAATGTGGATTTCGATATTTATTTATTTATTTATATATTTATTTATTTATTTATTTATTTATTTATTTATTTATTTATTTATTTATCTATTTATTTATTTATTTATTTATTTATTTATTTATTTCACTTATTGCATTACATTCATATGTATATATTTTATGTAGATACTACAAATAATTTACTATTTGTAAATTATTTTTTGTTCAATTATCCTTTCGAATGTGGATATATTTATTTATTTATTTATTCATTTATTTTATTTATTTATTTATTTATTTATTTATTTATTTATTTATTTATTTATTTATTTATTTATTTATTTATTTATTTATTTATTTATCTATTTATTTATTTATTTATTTCACTTATTGCATTACATTCTCTTCTTTAATGATACATTTCAACAAAACTTACATATTATCATTAAGATATCTCAAAATAACAGTCATATTATAGTGAACAAGAAGGGTAAAAATAAAAACAGTGAAAGAAAAAAGAAATTCATAGTCTTTCAGCTTCGATCATTCCTTTGCATATAAATATATTTCTTCACTTTATTTTTGAATTGCATAATATATTTGGGCTGTTCTTGATATCATCTGGTATTAATTGAATTTCGAAATCGCCTCATGTGTAAACTTTTTTTGCCCAAGTTTAGAATTTGCAGCTTCAAGATGAAACAAGTTATATTGTCTAGTGTGATGATCATGAATTTCGGAATTCCTGATCAATATAAAATTTGATTTAAGCTTTTTGTTGATGATATAATAGGAAATTTTGAGAGTATTGATTACAAAGTGCTCTTCCAAAGAAAATGTGTTTGTTTCCTTATACAGTTGATTCGTTGGAGTATCATAATTATGGAAGACGATACAATACTTGAAGTTTTAAATTCAATAATCTTATTGACCGTAGTGTTGTGGTTATGACAAATCTAATTCTAATTTCCTTTTCAATCTATTGAATAGTGGAGAAGGTATATTTTTGATTTCATTCAACATGTAATTTATCCTTTTGAATGTGGATTTCGATATGAAGTTTCAAATCGAATAATCTTATTGACCGTAGTGTTGTGATTGTGACAAATCTAATTCTAATCTCCTTTTGAATATTGAATAGTGGAGAAGATATATTTTTGATTTTATTCAACATGACGACAGACAACATTACATTTGCGCTACTCGAAAGAATAATTATATACATGCTTGAATCTTTGCACATAGTGAACTCGAAAATAAATGCATATTCTTCTTTGGATTCTACATTCATAGTGCCAATTCCTGATACATACATATCGAAAAAATTGTGACAAAAAAACACGGCTGCCACCACCGCTGCCGCTACCTTCACCGCCACAACCGCCCGTACAGCCGTGTCAACTGCTGCCGCCACCGCCACCGCCAACGCCACAAATGCAGCTGCCGCCACCGAGGCCGCCATCGCTGCCGCCGGTGGAAAAATGTCAGGCGCACACAAAATGTACGCATTGATAGTGTTATGAAGTACGCGTTTCGTTCCTAGAGGGCGCGGCGCGCTTACGCTTGCCGCCTGCCGACGGAATTCGGTTGAGCGGCAATAAAAACTGGTTTATTTAATTTGTCCAGCATCGCTTCTCGGCCTTCTGGCTAAGATCAAAGTGTAGTATCTGTTCTTATCAGCTTAATATCTGATACGCCCCGCATGCGGGGCCAGTATATTAAACTGATTTTTGGAAACTGATGGAGGGTTAGGGGCTTGCTCCACCTCCGTCGCGGGTTGGCCCGGTATTGCAGTACCTCCGGGATCGGCCCATTTTAAATAATTTAAACATAATACTTAAAAAATAATTCTGACATCCGGTATTCCAACAGTGCTACGTACCGCGGGAGCGCGTAAAACCCGCCAGCCAATTTTGCTGGTTGCGCGGAAAGCCGGTTGAGGATTATTATACCTGGCGGCGGCCGCTGCAGTAACAGCAGCCGCAGCCGTGCCGCTGCAGTAACAGCGGACGCAGCCGCGTACCGTCAACAGGGTTGGTTAATAATTCGTCATGGATTGTTCAACGAATCAAATGCCAATTTTATACAAAACTCACCCAATCACAGGCTGCATTTTACTGCACGAATTCAATCTGGACCTGTTATACCTGGCGGCGGCCGCTGCAGTAGTTACTGCAGACAGTAGCCGCAGCCGTGCCGCTGCAGTAACAGTAGCCGCAGCACACGAATTTGCATTGCATCCTCATGGCACGAGTCTTCATTTCAGGTCAGATAGAATTCGTGACGTTTTAACACACTGGAATAACTGGAATGAATATCAACATCAAATCAAAAAGTCCCCTCACTTTCAGGAAGTATTAATCACTTTATATAAAATTGATAAACTAATGTTTGGAAAATACAAAGCAGAAGAATATATTTTAATTTTCCATAATATAATATGTTGTAGGAGTTCCACTTGTCGTTTGATCTTAATTTGGATATGGAATGGTATATGGGTATCCAATAAATTCCAAACAATTCCAATTTTTTCAACCTGTTATCGAATGTTGAAAATTCGCTACTTCCCATTATTTTCCGACGCATACATATTATATATTCAATCTCTTTCATCTCTTTGGCTGGACAGATGGAAGCCAGCTCAGCTTTTGATCAAGATAATTTCCGATATTGAAAAATCTTCAACGCACTTTCCCCTTTTCTCATTTTTTTTTCGGATGAATCTGAATATCAGCAATTTTTTTTAGCAATTTTTCAAAGATATCAAATTCTTCTTGGGTCATCTTCAAAAGAATCGTTTCTCATCTCTTTGGCTACAGATGGAAATCGAAATTGTTTGGAATTTATCTGGATATCCATCTTTCGTTCCATATCCAAATTAAGAAAAAACAAGTGGAACTCCTGCAACATATGGAAATTTAAAATATATTTATCTTATGCTTTGTATTTTTCGTAACATTATAGTTCAATTATAAAGTGATTAATCCTCTCTGAAAGTGAGAGAGGATAATTCACTTTATGATATAATCACTTTATGATTATTTAAAATATATTTATCTTATGCTTTGTATAGTAACATTAGTTCAATTATAAAGTGATTAATCCTCTCTGAAAGTGAGAGAGTAATCACTTTATAATTGAACTAATGGTACAAAAATACAAAGGGACTTTTTGATTTGATGTTGATATTCATTTCTCATCACTTTCATCTATTTTACAGATGCCAGCTCAGCATCATTTTCGATGAGTGAAGATTTTTTAAATTTCCTCCATTCCATCATAGTATTTTTTCTTGGATACCTATGCAAAAAGTGGCTTTCAAGTGGACGGGGGAGCTGATCAGTCGCTATCAGTGGTGAGTGGTTCGTAAGGGGATGGAGGAAAATAGCTTTCGGTTTACATTTTGCAAAACGTACCATTGGATGGACATTAAAAAACCTTTAAGGTATTAGGTATCGAAATTATCCAGATGGAAAGATTCATCTGTACAGCCAAAGAGATGAGAAACGATTCTTTTGAAGATGACACAAGAATTTGATATCTTTGGAAAAATGCTAATATTCGGGACCTTCAAAAATCGCTGATATTCAGATTCATTCGGAAAAAAAATGAGAAAAAGGGAATTGGATGGACATTAAAAAACCTTTAAGGTATTAGGTATCGAAATTATCCAGATGGAAAGATTCATCTGTACAGCCAAAGAGATGAGAAACGATTCTTTTGAAGATGACACAAGAATTTGATATCTTTGGAAAAATGCTAATATTCGGGACCTTCAAAAATCGCTGATATTCAGATTCATTCGGAAAAAAAAATGAGAAAAAGGGAAATTGCGTTGAAGATTTTTCAATATCGGAAATAATTATCTTGATCAAAAGCTGTGCTGGCATCCATCTTGTACAGCCAAAGAGATGAACGAGATTGAAATAAAAAATGTTCCTTTAGTTTCCATTTGGATAATTTCGATAAGTACCTAATACGTTGAAGGTTTTTTAATTTCCTTCCAATGGTACGTTTTGCAAAATGTAAACCGAAAGCTACAGACAGCTACTTTTTGCATATCATATCATTTGAGTGAATCATACATACATACTTCATATTACTTGTTACATCGTTACATCACATTCCTATCGATCCCATGCTAGGTACTAAGATCGTGCTCTTTCTAATTCCACTATCACGTCGATAGATGGCGCCATAAGTGGTTGGTTACGTCCTCTAGATGCCGTACGGACGAGAGCGGATAAATAGTGGTTCGAGACGATTGGAAAGCATACTTACCTGGCGTAGGGGTTAACCGTGATCAACAAGGCGGTTCCCCCAGGGTGAGGCCTTTCCATTGCACTTCGGTTGGGCTGACCCCTGCGATTATCCCTAATGCGGATAACTCGGACGTGTAATTTTTGGTAGTCGGGACTGCGTACGCGCTGTCCCGGTGTAATATAATTCAAACACAATTTCAGCCGCCGCATGGCGGAATCGCGGAATCTAGATCGATCACGGCTCGCAGGTGACGTGCTGATTGAAACGCTTTAGGAACGAAAATATTCGAAGCGGTGTTCAGTGACTGAACTTCAGTCTACAGAAAATTTTCGGAAACTGCTATCACTATCGGCGGGGGTTTGTTCGGATTAGTTAATTTCTTTGAAAAAAAAAAGTGCGGTATTTTCGTTCTGGATTATAGGTATATAGGTATAGTGGAATGCACAAATGATGCAAATTTATTGAGAATAGTATCCGAATACTTATAAATGCTGAAATTCGACATTTTGATAAGATATTCAAGTTATCCTTAAATAAAATAATCATATATTTATTGAGCATACTAGGTAAAATAATATAGTGATAACATTTTCAAAAATACAGACTACCACAGATATAACGTATTATTCTTTTCAAAAACGATCTTGTAATCTTCAGGAAACAAAATATATGAACATCATTGTTTCTTCGAAGTGATTAGTAAAGAAAAATACTGTGGAGGCAATTTACTGTTATACTGTGGAGGCATTTATTGTGATTCGCAATTTCAATGATGTTTTCTTCGCAGTATTTGTATTTGTCTAACTAATCACTTCGAAAAAACAATGATGTTCGTATATTTTCTTCACTACTGTTATTGTGATACGCAATTTCAATCATGTTTTCTTCGCAGTATTTGTATTTGTCCAACTAATCACTTCGAAAAAACAATGATATTCGTATATTTTCTTCCCTGAAGATTCCAAGACCATTTTTGAAAAGAATAAGACTTTATATCTGTGGTTTTAACTTAGAATATAAAAAAACCCTACAATTTTCTAATTAATCTAATTTTTGTGATTAACTACAGTTATTTCATGATCATTCGTTCAGTTTTGTAAAGAAAGTTTTCGGACGAAAATTCAAATATTGTCGAGGAATTTACTGTTGGGGCCGATAGTGATTCGCAATATCAATGTCTTTCTCATCCGAACTTTCTTTACAATGAACTGAACGAACATTCCTTGACTACTGACTTACAGATAGTAGATCTATGCAGGTAGACTCCTAATTTTCGCATACAAATATATATTTCAAGAAAAACATTAATTCAATATTATATTGCTTGATTTATCTGATTATTTTTTTTACATGTCAAAATGTGACGTTTTCCTTGTTTCAACCAATATCAATGCGTGATTCTAGCCAATCATTCGGAATCATACTGATAATTTGTTAGTATCAAATTACCGCGATGACTTATTCACGTTTGGATCTTCCTTCAAATGGATACAAAAAGGGACCCATAGACTGCGATGTTGATAGGCTGTTTTGTTCGACTAACAAGTCTGTTCGAACAAAAATTGCGCACAACCGAAGTGTGTGGCTGTAAAATGTTCGTTTTCGCTGGCCACACACTTTAGTTTTGTGTCTTTTTTGTTCGAACAGACTTGTTCGACGAACAAAACGGCCTACCAACAACGCAGTCTATGGGGCACCTTTAGAGAATTAGCATTGACTTGACTTGGTTGTCAAGGTAACGCAGCTATTTGTCTCAATGTAAACATTTCGAATTCAGAACCGACGCCATTGTTAAGTATCAGTCAGACTTCGTATTTTGTGATTTTCTCTAACGTTTAAACGAGTTGGTATAGGTTCGGAAAAACTTTACAATTATTATTAGTCATTAACAGAAACCGACATGAGCACGAGATTTGGTCAAAGCTCGGCTGATTCAATACATTTAGCTGTCGAACAAGCAACACCAATCAACACCACAAAAAGCAAGAATACGATATGGAAACAGTTTTTGGAGTTCTGCCTTGAACGTAATTATGAGTTGACTGCAACAACCGAGATGAAACAAATCGCATCAATTATGGAGGACTGGGCATATAACATGCGAAAAAAAAATGGAGAAAACTACAAAGAATCTGTTGTCAAAACTTTGTGGAATGTCACCGCAAAACTTATCCAGGAAAAATATTTCAGGGAGTATAA